TTGATAGTCCCACGACAAGCTCAGAAAGGCTGGACAGTTAGCTCCGGCGTCCCAGAGCACCCCCTGCATGCCAGTTCCCTTGGCCCACTTTACCCACACTAGAAAAAAGAACAGGGAAAACCAGAATGCAGAGTCTGTACGGAGATGTTAGAAAGAGGACAGGGAAGGCAGAGGCCTCACTGTTGGCAGACAGTCAATGCACTGACTTCAGTTACAGTATGTAAATGTCACTCCCATCCCATTGACTTGAGTTGAATTCTCCTGATAATATTCTGCTGCCTTCTCACATCAACCCACCCGGACTTGCTTCGGAAAAAACACTGCGGGTCTGTCAGCAGAAACTCCGGATGAAGTCCAAACAAAAAAATGGCTGTTTGTATTCACACATACAGCTGCTCCGGGAAATATCATGAGTTTTTCAGGAGTGTTCTGCAAGTGTGAAAGCCCTATCACTCACTTACAGGATTATGCAGAACAATTAAAAAGTGAAAGACAGTATCACTGGAATTACACAGTGTTAATTTTCAAGCATTGACAGACAATCTGCAGCCAATCGGAATCGTGTATTCACCCAGACCGTAGTAAAATAAAGTTAAACCAGGCGGGTAGGTACACTTACATAAGTGTAAAATGAGTGTCACAAACAAACACACAGATAGATAAATAAATAAATGATGAGTTTGTAATTAAACAAACTTGTGGTCCAGTTGAAGTTATTTCCTGTATTTACGCAGAACATGTTTAGATCTCAGTGAACTTTAATGGTCAGTCTCTCTGTTTTTTTTACGTCAGTCAGTAAGATAAGTAATCCAAGCATCTGTTTTATTTTACATTTAAAAAGCCTGTTATCATGTTTACCATATCTTAAGGTTAGGTTTTTAATAGAGGAGCAAACACATTCTGTCCTTAAGAACATATACAGCTCCAGAGAACAAAAAAGGGCATTCATAAAATGTTTTTTTTTTCTGGTTCTACTATTTATAGCTTTGAGTTTGAGTAAAATGTTCATTTATGTCTTGTGTTTTATTAGCAGAAAATGAGATCCGGTGAAGAAAACTAAAATATTCAGCATTTTTCAGACTGCGGAAAATGCAAGTTCATATTCATTTTCATTCATTTTTACAACGTTTTAACTGAGGAAGATATAAATACTCTGTGAAAGATAAAACATGATATTTAACAGACTGAAACATAAGGAACAACCTGATAATAAAAGATCAGTCTAAATAAAAGATTCAACCAAGATTCTGTAAGGGGATGCTATCAAACGTTGATAACTCAAACATCACAATTTAGTTTTATTGGCCAGAAGTGATCATATTAGGAGGAGTGGGTGGAGCTAAAAGCGGAGCAAATGGTCATGAAACGGTTGTTTGTACCCGGCTTTAAACACGTTTATTTCTGCTGTAAAGTTGGACATTTTAACATGGGGCTTGATGGGGATTGATTTACTTTAGGAGACAGCCTCTAGTGGACACCCAAGGAACTGCAGAGGTGGCTTCTTTTTATAGCTCTGGAGGCAGCCACATAGCAAGTGATGGGCCTAGTTGGCACTGGCCCTCCCTCAAAACTCAGCCAGACAGAAACAAAATGGAAAATGTTGAAAATAAATTGAGGGTGACTAATATTAAATAATTTACAGTAAAATTCAAAAAAATATCCTTTGACTGCTTCAAAGTTTTTTTTAAAAGTCCTTTCTTATAGGAATAGTTGGCCCACCCGTTTTTGTACTGGCCCACCCAAAATTACATTTCTGCCATGCCACTGTCTGGAAGTTGCTGCTCAGTTCACAAATATGCTTTTGATAAAGATTCGCTGATGAAGGCCTAGTGCTGAAACGCGTCCGTTGTTGTTTTGTGTGCTACTCTTACCGAGATAAAAATTACTTGAAGGACATTTAGTGTGCTGACTTTTTTGCCTCTGTTTAAGTCATGTTGTGGTCGTGCACCTGGAACTTTTCTCATTGTCGAGTGTGCTCCTTTTTTGCTGTTTTTATGAAGGTTCCTCCCTGTGATTGAATTTAACAACGTCCAAAATTGTATTAATGAAAACAGTTTACAGATTCAGCCATTTATTCAAGAGGAGAAATCTTTTTCTGTGCATCACATTAATTTAGATAGATTTATTCAGAGAGACGGATTGATTTAGTTATTACTACTTTCACAGGAATCCCCAATGATCAAAAATCCAGAATAAAGAATGTGTTTGCAGAGCTCTGATTTCCACAAACACACACACATGCAAACACACACACCCACGAGCAGTGAAGGCATGCGTGAGTCAACAGTAGCAGAAAGATGTAACGTTTGGACAGTGTGTTTTTCAGGCCGGCTTTGTTAGGTGTCACTCTTTGTTGAAACGTGTGTCCACACCGCAGCGAGTTCCTGGGAAATGTCAACAACTTCTGCTCTGCCCAGTCTTCTCCTGACAGCTCACCAGTAAACAGTAAATTCTGTTCAAACATTTCCCGTCAGCCTTTTCTTCTCAGCGGGCTCCCAGACGACGTAAACTTTACCTAAAGTCAGGACTCCGTGGCGGTTCGGGGAAATGATCCCACTGTGGAAAGGTTTATGATCAGGACTCTGGTGTTTTCACACATGCACAAAACTCCTGAAATCATCCTGAAAGTTTTTGTGAATGCTAATTACTGATTAATTTTTCACCCCAACTCTACCCAGATATGTTCCTGCCAGCTCCCTAATAAAATGTCCACAAGAAGTCTGGGTGAGGAAGCAGCAGAAAATATTCTGGGAAATCAAATTTGTGTGCGTGTGTGTGTGTGTGTGTGTGTGTGTGTGTGTGGGAGAGGGGGTGTCAATGATGCATATACAGCATAAATGTGCTCCTCTGATTGTCCCAGTTTCCAGGTTGGGAAGTAGTTCTTCTGACTTCAGTGTTTACGTGCGGGTGAGAAAGCATGCAGCAGAGTTCTGGATGTAGTGGAGTTTATTGAGGACTTTAGATGATGTACTGTAAAGGATGCTGTTGCAATAACCGAGTCTAGATGTGATGAATGAAGGCATGAATTAGTGTTTAAGCAGCAGAGAATTGGATTGATGGGCTTAGATGAGCTATATGTTTTTAAGGTGGACGAAGGCAGCTCTTGTGAGCTGGGTGACGTTCTGATTTAAGGTGAGGTTGCTGTCAAATTAATTGTAAATGGACTTGAGCTTGTATAGCGCTATTCTAGTCTTCTGATCCCCAAAATCGCTTTTATACTGCAGGTCAAACTTACCCGTTCTCACACTGATGGTAGAGGCTGCTATGTAAAGTGTCCATCAGAATTAACTAATCAATTCATCCAAGGGTGCTGGTAGCCTAATGGTTAGTGCGCACCCCTGGCGCCCATGTACAGAGGCTATAAGTCCTCCAAGCAGACGGCCCAGGCTCGAATCCTGCCTGTGGCGCCTCCCCCCCATGTCATTCCCCACTCTCTCTCTTCCTGATTTTAAACTCTATCAGCTGTCACATAAAGGCCCAAAAAGCCCAAAAAGCCCCAAAAATCAATCTTTAAAAAAAAAAAAAACACAAGCAGCCAAGTTGGCCACAGACACCACTTTGCTTTCTTTCTTTCTAAAATGTATTTCCTTTATAAAATGTTTAGAATTCTTGACCTGACGACCAAAAACATTTCCCCACGCATTATGCATGAGTGAAAAAAGCTAAATAAACGATACAAACATCTTTCGCAGTAAGGGGTGTAATTGTTAGAAACTTCCTTTCAACTCTGTCATCATTTTAAAGAAGGCAAATGGTTTCAACTGAAATCCTTCAGTTTGATATTGGTAGATATCGTGAGGTGCATTGGTATTAGCTTGATCTTATTCTGAGAGATAAATTCTTTGTTTTAATTTCTTCATATTCCAGTACTGCATGCCCTTCTGCTCTACGACTGAAGCTGATGCTACAGGTGGTTCTCATTTTCACCGCTATGTTTCAAAAGTTGGTTTCTTTACGGAGAAAAATCATGAAAAGTGAGCCATGTCTGTTTTAGACTGTGATTTGATTAGAATATGTTGAACAGCTGGGCCCTGCAGGTACAACATGGCACTCAAGAACATAAAGAGCACTGATGATATCTGAGCTATAAGTATATGTTCAGGGCTCCTGCACACTTTTCAACATCAAATATAAGCCTTTTTAACACAAAACAAAGATGAATGTGTGCTATTTTAACAACACGTAGCTTTGTATATTTCAGATATCCATGGTACTAAATGGCTTTGAGTCATTGCCCCAAATTGAAAAGGTTTTTAGCTTCTAGAAAGTTTCCCATGATCGTTGTCCAACCATTCCCTTTTTGTCATTTTGACAGTGGTGATTCTAGAGTCTGGTGGGGCCCTAGGTAAAAATCAATTGGGGTGCCCTCCAACCAGTGTCCCAATGCTTTCCTGTTTCCTTTTTCTCTCCTATAGACGGATAATTCCTCTTCATTGTTCTTTGTTTACTTCATTGACAATCTTTGGTTTTCACTGCTATAATGCATGCAATGCTTAGCAGAGCAACGAGTGAGTGCTGTCAGTTGGGGAGGTTTCCTACTATCATTGCAAAATTTGCACATTTGGGGCCTCTGCTTCGGTTTAAGTTTGTGAGCCCTCAGGGGCGCCCAAGCAGTTGCCTGCCATGCCTGTTTGGAAGCAGGGCCTCTGCATTTTGAATTTCCTTCCTCCTGTTAGCAGTTTGTAAATACTTAATATGCTGCTGTAATTGTAGTGAAATGTCATGTGAACAAGCAAATCCACAAAAAGGAATAACAAAGTCATGACCACTGGACATTGCAGATTTGGTTAAGTAATCAGACATGCCTCAGTCATCTTCAATTTAAGAACTCTTTAAAGTGATTATAAAACATTTAAAGACATTTAATGACCTTGCATTTAAACATCTAATTCAAGACTTTTTAAGAACGCATGAGGATCTGTGGACCCTGATGTTCACAGACAAGAAACATAGAAGTTAGACTTTTATAAGTCAAGCTGAACATGAACTGAACCACAGAATTAAGTCAGTGCTTTGTTTTTATTAGTCAATACAAAAAGGTCACTGTATTGAAGCCCAACCCCCCACACCACACCACACCACAGACAAAAACTCACACAGACAAAACTAGATCCACACAACTACAAAACAACCTCGACTATTTTTCTTTACAAAACTGAAATTAGCCAACACGTTGAAAGTGTTGGACAGAAAACATTGATAGGAATGATTATGTTCTCTTTATAGCGTCCTCGATGTCTGACATCTGGTCCTTCAGCTGGTTCCACTGTTCAGGGTTCAGAGAAATACCTAAAAGAAATATGAAATCAACATTTTAAAGTCTTTACATGCACACCACTGACAACATCAGACATCCAACTTTCCAGGTGTATGTTAAACATTTCACACTGTTCAAAATGTATTTATAATGAATGTGAATACCTTTCTTGCCCGGCTTCATCTCCCCTTCTGGGTTCATCCAGTACTCTCTGATGTCGACCAGGACTTTACCTTTAAAGTCTCTGACGCTGACGTATCTCATCTTCCCAATCTGGACCAAAAAAAAGTATAAGAAAACTTTTTAGACAAGTTTACTTTTTAAAAATATATTTTACAATACATCAAAACTGGAACTCAAGGAGAAGACTACAATATTTTTAAATTCATGAGTTTGTGAATGTCATTTTTTTTTTATTTTAAAAATGACATGTTTGTATTTCTTACATTTTTGACCCATTTCCTGACTAATTTAAACAGTTGCACTGATTTTGTAGTTCATGTGAGGATTTTTCAGCTGGTTATGAAAAAGACTGAAATTAAAATTGATTCCTGACAAAGTTAGTCATGGAGTTCCTCCAGGTGCTCGGACCGACTTCTTTCAACTAATAAATGATTCTCCTGGGTAATATTACGAGGAAAAATGCCACAATTGTTATGCAGATGATACTCAACTATATCTATCAATAAAGCTTGATGACACCAATCGGTTATGTACACTAGAAGCATGTCTTAAAGACATTAGGACCTGGATGACTGGAAGTGTTTTTGTTTCTTAACTCAGACAAGACTGAAGTTATTGTGCTTGGCCCTAAAAACCTCAGACAGACTTTTTTCTAATGATATAACTGTCCTTAATGGCATCAGCCTGGCACCTAGCACCACAGTTAGGAATCTGAGAATTCAATTTGATTAAGATATGTCCTTCAACTCCCGCATAAAACACATTTAAGGACAGCCTTGTTTCACCCGCAACATCTCAAATATAAGACGTATCCTGTCTGAAAACTTTGTAGAGAAACTAGTCAATGCATTTGTTTCTTCTAGGTTGGATTACTGTAATTCTCTTTTATCAGGCGTTCCTCAGGAAACATTAGCTGGAGGGGGAATCTATGGAGCAGCTGTTCTATAAGGAGTTTGCAGTTACTAGAGAGTGTAACTGATTCGATTCGGTCTCCCTGGGAAAGTCACCTGGAACATGTTGTCGTCACCGTTCCCACTGCCCTTTGATGAGCCGCTGGGCTTGGAGCTCTCTCCGCTCTTTGGTTTCTTCACTGGTTTCTCTGGTGCTGATGGCTTCTTTCTCTTTGCCTTGAAAAATACAAAAGCACTCTTTAAATGTTTGCCCTTACCATGTCTGTAACTGAAATATGTTCATATGTGATATATTGAGCAGAGTACCCCTGAACAAATAAAAACACATCTGCTTTTGTTGCTACATATTTCTTGTAAAGACATGGATAAGGTTAACAACGACAAGTTCGAATCACAGCACAAACCTTGGTCTCGACTTCACTGTCAGAGTCACTCCCAGATGCGGAGGACAGCACTTCCTTTGATTTAGGCATTCTGCCGAGACAGACATATCAGACATTTATTCAGACTTCAGTTGAACAACTGTTAAATAGAAAAATGCAGAAAGTTTATTCTTGGATCTCTCAGTGTTGCACATTAAACCATTTTTTTTAAACTAGATGCCACAAGGTAAACCCATTTGTCAGAGAAATGACTACAAAAAGCTGCTTCTAATACTAATGGTATATAACATTTTTTTGGTGACTATTCATCTTTACTTATCTCTTCATATTGCATTTACATTTCATTTCACAAACCTTGGGAGGTAGGAAATATCTCTTATATAAATATAAAGACAATTTGTGATTCCCAAAACAGGATTTTATTAACCTGAACCATTCCAGGTTCCAGTTCTGTAGTAGAGATGCAAAATAAGAAAGATCTGCTTTCATTGCAAATTAAAAGAGAAAATTGTTAATTTTCCACATTTTACATTTAATGAATCAATTTGAAATCGGACTTGCCCTGCACCACAAATAAATTATGGAAGGTATATGTGGCCTGACGCCACATTGAGTCCAAGACAAATTTCCCCAAGGGGACAATAAAGTGTATCGATATAACACTTTGTTTGATCATGAAGTCTGATGTTCCTATACAGTTCTGTGGAGTATCAGTAAAATATAAGACTGGCACGGCAGACCTGAGTCTCATTTTACTGTTTTAAAATAATAGATAAAAGGCAATATATACACAGATGCCTGTTATGACACACCCGTCTCCTCTCCGTCTGAGTAGTGTTGACATACTCTTGACAAAAACTCTTAAAAATTAACCACATGACAAAAACTTTGGACAAAACAAGCAAAGCAGTAATCGTTCTCAATTACCATGTTTTGATGATCATGGGAAGCCAAAATGGTAATCATAATAGATATCTGATTAATTTCCCATCCCTAGGGGATGATCTGAATACATAACTTTCCTTTATGAAGACAGTGAACATCTGTATCAGCCGGAAAAGAGGGTCCTTCTGTTGCACTCATCAAGTCGTCCATTTGTTAAATTCTCAGGCACTAATGGTCAGGGTATTTGGAAACATCTGGCTAAACTAAAATTGTCAAAGTGTAATACTGTGTATAAGCGCATCTGTATGCGTAGGGTTAAGCGTGATAAGCTGGACAGGCTCAGGTCAATTTGGCTTGGTGGCATGGACAGATCCAGAATGGGCCTGGCATCCTGCTTCTAGAATGTCCTCAGTATGAATTCCCATAGCCACATAAAAGACCAAACCACAGTGAGTTTGCATTTTTTTGGTCAGAGAAATACCATTAAAAGTGTTTAATCTTTTAAAAAAAAATTTGGAATGCCATTATTTTTTTAACCAAATAGAAGTATCGATAAGTATGTCAGTATTGATGCCCATCCCAGGCTATCACCGTATGTAAACAGAGGACAGCTGACAGTTACCTGAACACCACCTAATACCTTACAAATATGTCATCATTGAGATGGTTAGAAAAGTCTTTGAGAGTAGGGCTGGTAAATTAATCGAAACCAACATTCAGAACCTCTAACCGACGTAATCTTGTCCATGTCGATAATTTTCAGGTAGGGATGTCCCGATACCGATCTCAAGTACAGGATCGGAGACGATTTTGGCCTGGTTTTTTTTACTGATCGGGAATTTAAAGCCGAGCTCATCCTGATCGTCTACGTTAGTTGTCATACAAGCACCAAGGAGGCCCTCGGTCCGTCGGTGAGCAGTCGTCGCCTTAGTTTTGCGGTGTGTCCAGCTCAGTCGCTACCCGTCAGCCCCAGTAGGTCTTTTTTTGGCCCATTCCACATGTTGAATCGGCGTGAGCCGGCGCGGGTGGGGGTAGGAATCTCTCTGATGTTCAACTAAGTGAAACAGGAGAGCCAGTGCACGAGAAGAAATACGGAAGAGCCTCTTCTATTCTTGTTCCACAAATAAAAGACCAAGGGCTGAGAACACCATTTTCAACTTTTTATCAGTCATTATTCTCCATTAGAAGTACCTATATTACAAGTCTTGAGTGACAGCTGTGAGAAAATTTTCTTCTCGTCTCACAACAATGGTTTATTTATCCGTGTTTTTCATTGTCCTCTTCCAGGTTTCCCCTTTTTGGAATGACAATTACAGACTACTGCCACCTGCTGGCATGGAGAGTTATTTCCTCTCACACATGCGCAATACGTACGTGGTGGTTGGCCGTCGGCTCTAGTCTTTGCGGTGTGTTCTAGTGCATTCAAGTTTACTTGTTATTTATTATAAAACAGCATTAAGTGAATTTGTTGTTTTTTTATGACCAAATATGAAAGGTAAACAAAGCTTTTACACCATTCTGTTTTCAATTTTGTTTTTATATGTGAGTTTTACAACAATACTAGCTGGACTAAGTTGAATGTAATAAGCTGAAGACATCTTGTAGTAACTTAATGTTTACAAACATTATTTTGTAATAAAAAAAACATGGACCATCTCTTATCTAGGCAAATATAAGTACCAGATCAGGAATCGGTATCAGCTAATTCTCAATATTTAAAAATTGGATTGGGATCGGAGGCTTAAAAGGCTGATCGGGACATCCCTATTTTCAGTGCAAAGTCACGTGCTGATACGTCCAATCCGCGACATGGAAGCAATAACCGTCATTTTGTCTTTAGGGAAGACGACACCTAACAAAAAGAAGTCAAATGAAAACACTGCAGAAAAACAGTTTGCAAGAAATGCAAGATATTTATTTTCTACCGTTTAAGAGAAGTTAATTTCTACTTTAAATATGCAATAAATAACCAGAAATAGTTCATCAGATATGCCTCTGAGAGCAGAAAATAAGATCACAGCTTTAATGGCAGATTTACAGCAGAGACCATGTCAGTGAACTATGAGGGGAAAAAACAAAATAATCGTTCATTAATCGTAATCGAGGTAAAATGTTCAATTAATCGTGATGTTGATTTGAGGGCTGATCACCCAGCCCTACTTAAGAGTGTAGAAATAATCTGCGGAGGGGCCCAGCATTTTGAAGTATTGATTAAAAAGCACTGATATTATGTTTCTTCTAAAGGAGAGCTGATGAATGAAAGAGGGAGAGAGCTCTGTCATCTTCTTCTTCCTCTGTCAGGCTCCATTTTGATCTGATGCACTAAATGGACTCCTGGATGTGGTTTCGTATCTGTCAGGTAACTAATCAGGTTGAGTATTTTAAGGACCCGGGTCATTCGGATAAACACACATTCACATTTTAAATGATCGCTATTTCTACTGCGTTTCTTCACATCAGACTGAAGTTAACACAGATAATTAAAGACATTTTTCACATTGTATCTACTTAAACTAGTCGCCGCGCTAAAATATAAGTGATAAATGATGTTAAACCAGTGTGAGGACATGCTTTAGAGGTATATTTAATTGTAATGATAACACTGCTCACACACAGGCATGGTTAGTTAGCATGCTGCTAAATGCTAACTGGATAGCTTAGCAACGGTTGCTAACGTTAGCGGAGCTGCTGCACGGGAAGCTGTCCCGGCAGATTCTTCTTAAAGCAGATGCAATAAGATCACAGTGCACAGGGTACTTCCTTTAATTAAACCAGTAAACTATTCAGCGTTTTTTCTATTCAAAGCGTTAATGCTTACATGATAAGATGAAGTGGATCGGATCTCTGGACAGGAAACGGAAAACGTGTTTTTCCTCTTTGAGCCCGATGGCGGTTAACGAAGGAGCATTAGCGCCACCTGCCGGTCCGGAGGGTGCAGTTCACTAACAACAAAACAACATCCTTCAATACTTCATGATCTACATCTTCATGTAAATTACAGGGACTGCAGTGTCCAGTGAGTTTCTATCATTTAATTAAACTCCTTAAATCACATTTTCAGAATACCAATAAATTATAATCATCTACTTCATCCGTTGATGACATGTAACTTAATTTGGTATGTTGAGGAAAAGTCCCACTGATTTTTCTCTGTTGGAGGTAAAAACAAAACATGCATGGGAGGGAAATCTAATCTAAACATTATTGTACTTTCAATTGTTGATTAAACTCTATGTAGTTTTTGAGATATAGAGATTTATATAACAACTCATTTTTATTTGCTAGACACAAGAGTAGTCAGGTTATTTGTTTTTACAAAAGAAACATTTTGTGTAAATAATCAATCTTGTACTTGCATGTTCAAAAGCTCTTGTGGACTTAAAGACTAGATAGTCAGTAAAGAATTAATAATATTAGTTTAAAAAAAGAAAAGAAAATTAAGTTAAATGTCGCTGCAAAGTCAGGCTGAGCTACCATACACTTAAATGTATTTCTAGGATGACAAGCTAGTGGGCCAATAGGAGTCAAGGGACTCCTGAGCCAAAGACCTTCTTAATGTTTTAACCACATAGATATAAAACACAAACACATATAAACAAGCAGACACACACAATTGATGCTTCTACTACATCTAATAAAGTTTACTTCACGCTGATTGTGACCAACTGTGCATAATGCCAGAAAAGTGGAAAACAACTCTTGTGCATGCATTTTAAAAACCAAAGATGTTTGCAAACGATCATGTACAATGATTGAGAAACCATCCGCCTGTCATATTCAGAGCGTTATTCTCTCACTCTAAGAGTTTGTGTGTGTGTCTATGTTAGTGGGTGTGTGTGTTTGCATTGCAAAGCCACTGCTACCCCCTTGAGACCAACAACTACAAATTGTTGTTTAAGAAAAATGGGCACTGTGGCCCCATACCTTCACAGATTTCCAAAATTAAACAGGTTAGTTTTTAGCTCAATAAATTGCTACTATAATTGTGTGAAGGAAATCATAATATTCCACTGTGGACATTTATGGGTTAAAGCTCCTGTAAGGAATTTTTGGTTTATGTGGATTATACACCTCCCTGTGGAAAAACAACCTCTTTTTCCTTTGCCCACCATTTCCATTACACTTTTTTTTAACCAAAAAATCAAATCCTTCTTTATTTTAAATATCTAACATGCAACTCCCAATGAATCTCCAGGATGTTTTTGCGTGCTAATCGGCACGTGTTATATCCATACCCCACGTTAGGGCGTACTGTTACTAAAATGAACTCTTTTGAAATAATCAGTCTTATCATCAGTATTAATGATCAGTCTTTTGCATAATCAGATGAAAACTCCTCACATGTCCTTCAAGGCTCCTGTTGTTGATTCCCATAAAGTTGAGGGCCTACTGACTCTCTAGTGTTGATACATTCAAAGGTGATCTGACTCTTTTAAGCAGCTATTACGTGCCAATGAGTTTATCAAAGGACAACTATGAAACTGTTAGAGGGAGCCATCTGTCACAGTCATGTTGGAGACAGAGTGTATAAACATGGATGTAGTCTCAGTGATGTCACTCATTGGTTTCTGAGGAGGCGTTATGACGCTCATCAAGGGCGGTTGCAATATTTTATGTTAACATGTTGGAAATAAAGATATCAACCAATCAGTCACTCATATTGGAGATGCTGACTCTAACTTTAGATGGCTCTAGAAACAGACAGAGGTGGAGCTGAGGCGGGCATTAAACCTCCTGATAAAGAGCTACAACACTTCCACCTGTCAGTCAAGTCCGGCAACGCCCCTCATTATGAATAACTCTTAGTCTTAATATCATCAAATCAGGTGAGTTAGAAAAATAAATTACCCCTGCGTAGTGTGTGCTGATATAGAAATTAGCTAATCAGAAGAAAAAAACATTTTTATTTTTGTCATTAAAATAGACATTTTACAAAGGTTGATGGGGACTTCAGGGCTTTCAGAGAGAGCCTCAAGTGTCACATTAGCAGAACTGCACTTTTTTGTACTCCTGCATTGGATCCAATTTTTTTACCAGGCCTGATGCAAGCTTCAAGTTTCATGACTTCTTGAACACGTTCAGATACCCATAAGTCCAACGTAAGACCTAAAATAGGGATAATAAGAATCCTGGAGGATAGGTCCTTACAGTGTTGGTGCCCGAGCCCTATGGAATATTTTATTCCATACTCTACTTAAGTAAAATTTCTGTTTTATATGCCTGAGACTGTAAGAATTGGCATAGCCACCTTAATATTGACCACTGGTTTTTGGGAGGGAAACCCTCGCTCATCTCCAGCTCCACTCTCTTGTCCAAATATGGTCATTTTCCTGGACAAAATGTTCTTACTGAAAACATGAACAACCATTTCTCCAGAGCTTCTTCTAGTACATCTGAGCACTAAACAAGACACTTTTTTAGGTTGCCATGGTAGCATTTTGTCAAAGTCTTAACACCTCCCCTGCTTTCTGGTCAGTTTGACTCTAATCAGGACCTTTACCAAATGAACATGATGCTGTTCTGAAGAAGACTTGAAACTACAAATTGAGACCATAAACTCATTAGGCAAATGTTTACTAAAGGACCAAATCTAGTGGGAAGTAGGACCATATGATGAAAGACTCTGCAGCGCCCCCTGCTGGACATAGGAAGAATTGCAGAGTTAAGGCACTTTAGCATTTGCTTCTGACACCATGGCTACATTAAATTCCATTATGTACAGAAATGCATGCTAGTGAAACTAATACGTCTTCCTGAATATCACTCTGCTTTGAGTAAGACTGAAAAGATGTCGTCGTTTTCAGAGAGTTTTAATAAACAGCTTAAAACATTCTACAGTAAATTGTTGTCCCATACATTAAAGCGATTACAGCTTACAGAGTAGAACAATATAATGTCCATGTTTATTTCAACACGTTTTGGCCCAGCAGCTGTCACTCCATGCAGACAGACAGGTCCCCGGTCCGAGTCCATCTATTTCGATCGGAGTCCTCTGGCTATGTTGTCGTCAGTTTCAGCCGCCTCTTTCAGAGCCTGCATCACCAGAGCATTCCTCTTCCTCGTCTCCTCCATCCTCATCGGGTTGGCCTCAGGCAGATTCTGAAGGACAGAGACATGGCATGAAACAATATCCGATCCACAAAAGAAAAAAGAGACTTAATAATTCAATCTTACAAGAAAGATGACATGTGACAAAAAATTTCCTTCTTATCCTGAACCTCAAAAAAAAAAACTACAGGTACACTTTTTATGCAATGGAAGCGTCTTTAATGGTTTTCATTTATTCTGTTAATAAAAGTGTTCATATCTGTATTTCGTTGAACTTTGACCTTTAAAATCTCTCTTTCAGGATGCACACACACACACACACACACACACACACACACACACACACACACACACACACACACACACACACACACACACACACACACACACACACACACACACACACACACACACACACACACACACACACACACACACACACACACACACACACACACACACACACACACACACACACACACACACTTTAACCACTAGCAGGACAGGACAACTGAAGAGAGACAGGACATTTAGGGGGAGCGGGTGGGGGACAACATGCAGCAAAGAGACGAGGTCAGATTTGAAGCCATGACCGCTGCGACAAGGACTATAGCCTCTGTACATAGAGCGCGTTGAAATTCCATTATTTCCAATTCAGCAATAATAATATGTTAGACTTTTCCAAAAAACTTGAGCCAGAGTAGTTTACGTGCTGAACCTTAGCTTCTGTAAAGTAAAGACCTTCTGGTACAGTATTTCATTAACTTGACCACAGAAAAAGGAACTTGTTACAGATAAAAAAAAACTAACGGTACAAATGTGAAATGTTTGATGTCAGAAGATGGATATATCATTTAATCTAAATTATCTTGTTTTCATGAGTGTGGGAAACTAAAATCATAATTGAATTTAGAACTAAATGAATATCCCAGCCCTACAAACGATCATTAATTCTCTATAACTGTCGAACCTCAAGACCCTCCACCAACTCTTTCATGAACTATTTTTAAACCAATGAGATTTATTTGATGACAGATGTCAGCTTGGACCTCAGACTGTAGAAAATATGTGACAAAAACAAAGAAACGTAACAAAGCAAACATGTTTAAAAAGGGCTTCATAGACTTTTCGGACAATTTTCTTCCCAGGCACACATTCAGGACCCACAGAAAGCTGCTCTGCGACCCACTTTTGGGTCCCAACCCACCAGTTGAGAAGCACTGCTCTATAACGCCATGATCTACAGCAGTACCACAACTAGAGGGGATTCTGTACGTCTTTTTGAATTAAAGATAGATGTCATGGAATAATAACTGTATAATTGCTCTATTAGGCCCATGTGGTAAATCATAAACATTCCTCTGCTGCCACCTACAGGAGTGTTACAGTAACAGCAGGTAAACAACTACCACAAATGGACATTTTACAGTTTAATACTTGTCATCTTTATATCACCCATATGAGCAGGTGTTGCATCTGAAGGACACACGAGGAGCCTGACAATTACTGTTCAATATAATGTTCATTTTAATGTCCATTGACTTTACATTAATTCTGTAGAAAACAGTGAAAACAGTGAAAACAGTGACTCCAGCTCACACTTCACGCCCTGACAACAACATCTACATTTGCACTAGTTTAGATTTATAACGTTACACACTTCACTTGGATCAGTTCAGATTAGCACCTTTACGTGAGTTTTGTGACGGGGTCGTCATTCAGCTGACTCACCTTGATCAGCTCTTTCCGTCGTTCCTCTCCCGGTGCAATCATCGTCCACATGCCGTAGCCGAGCGCCATACAGGCGACCAGCGCGGAGGAGTTGATGATGGTCCGGAGGCTGCTCATCCTGCGGACAGTGAAGGCAACGCGGAGTCTGTCTGTCCGGCAGGTGTCTGCTTCTTCAAACACACTAACCTACAGCATCTCACTCCCTCTGTTTGGTAACAGAGGCACAGCAGTACACTTAAGTAAACGGAAACTTCTGTGGTCATTGGTGGACTCGTTTACGTGCACACTGCCCCCTGCTGTATCGGAGTATGTACGGCCATGGTAAAAACAAAACAAAAAAAACAAAACTCTGAGAACATTTTATTTTGTACAGAAAATGTTGGTTGTTTTCTCAAGAACTCGTCTTATTTGTCGCGTTATTTTGGGATAACAACGCGGATTTTCCAGATCTCGAGGAAAAAAAAGGCTGAACAGTAAGCCTAAGCTACTTGTTATCAGGCAAAACGGATAACAATTAAATGTTGATGATGCATGTCTGCTTAATGTGGAACCTCTAGTCTACAAAGTCATACATTCATTTGATTAAATGCCATTTTACCTTGAGTAATTTCAGCCTTTTTCTCGAGATCTGAACTATCTATTTTATTACAGCAGGATTACAACGCTGTTTTGTTTTGTTTGGGTGCCATAAAACTGCATTACTGTTTTTGCAGATGATGTGGTTCTGTTGGCTTCTTCAGGCTGCGACCTCCAGCAGGCATTGGGGCGGTTTTGCAACCCAGTACAAGGCAGCTGGGATGAGGGTCCGCATCTCCAAGTCCAAGGCCATGGTTCTCTGCTGAAAAACGGTGGATTGCTCCCTCCAACTGAGCTAGTTTTTGCCCTAAGTGAAGGCAAAGCTTTGGATTTAAACTTCATCTATGTTCCAACCCTAAACTGTATATTCAGATGGACAGAACTCCAATCAGCTGAGACTAAAGCCAAAAGATTTAGAGCTCCCACTACTGACTGGATGCAGTATTGGTCATAAACCCTGCCTCCTCTCTGTTAACAGATAGAACAAACCATGAAATCATAACACACATCAGAAGATTCTTTTTAGTTATTTAATGTTGTAAAACTGAATAAAATGCCATGATTGACAGCTGTTGATGAATGTGGCTCCTCTATTCCCTCTGGATCATCACAGTAGAGAAACAGCGAGAGAAACGTCCAATGGGAGGAGGCTGAGGCACGTAGTTCATATGTATTGACAGTCTATTGTTCCACCTATGTTCATGAGTTTTGGGCAGTGACTGAAAAAATAAAATCACAGACGAGCTGCCGAAACAAGTTTCTGACATCTGGAGAGAGCTCAGAGTAGAGCGGCTACTCCTTTGCATTGAAAGGAGCCAGTTGAAGTGGTTTGCCTGTTTGCCTCCCTTTGGAGGTTTTCCGGGCACGTCCACCTAGGAGAAAACCTTGGGGTAGACTCAGAGCTCGCTGGAGGGATTATAAATCCTGTTTGGTCTGGGAACACCCTATATCGCTCAGGACGAGCTGGTAGTCAAGAGTCAACCTGCTTAGCCTTCTACCACTGCGACCACGGATAAGTAGTAAAAAAAAATGGATGTACGGAGACACAACAAGTTGATCTGGAAATGTATTTATTCTTCTACTGGAATAGGTAAAGCAGAGTGCAGAGCACAGCAAGCATTCACAAGAGGACAGACACAGAAGGGTGAATACAGACGGGAGAAGAATTAAAGGAGAAACCTGAATGATGAGCCTCCTCACAGTAATGAAGGGTCCTGTGTCTGTTCTTCTGGCAGGGTTTGGAGATAACTCTTTCCTAAAACCGTTGATTCTAGCTTTGTTTACATTTCTTGGAAGCTGGACAACAACGTTCAAAAGGTCGCCTATTTAAATTCTGAGTGCATGTCCTACAGAAAAGTCTGCAGATTCATGGACAGAGAGCAATTTAAGTTTGACAAGTCTGCATCGGAGCCCCCATGCTCCTGATGGTTTAACAATCTGTCAGCGCTGAACTAAGGTTGTCAATTTAGTTACTTTTCAGATATCTGGTGTTTTAAAATTATATAATCAGTTTTTTCATTGATCGATAGAAACAAAACTAAAGAACTACATCTTCTTCAAATAAAGGTGGAGGAGAGGTTTAAATATCTGGTGTCTTGACACCCTGAACCCTCACACTACAGGACAGAGTCTACAAGTCTAAAAGACCTGAACCCAGCTGAAAATTAGTTTGGGGGGCAGAGGGGGGGGGGGGGGGGCAGTTGGAATTATACAAGACTTGATTTTTTCCACCACTGTCAACAAAACATCAAATTATTAAACGCATTAAGAATATTTATCTCTCCAGGAGAGTTCAGGCTTAACAAGACTTATCATGGTTGTTTTTTCTTTAATTTTTCCCTCTTCTGTACTCTACTCGCCCCCTTTTTTCAAGTCATGACATTAATCTTTTTCCAGTATTAAAACTTCATTTAGCAACTAACAAAGTTATCAGGCAAGCAGGCCGATCAAGTTCCTTTTTCACAAGGAAAGCCATAACGTTACTCAGTGTGAACAGGGCAAACCAAAGCATCTTCATCTATGTAAAGATTATACAAATACTTAAAAGAAAATGAGGAGACAAAACTACATTTAGAGCCGACAGCTTCACTACTAAACAAAAAGTCTATCCACAGTTAAAGTTCTTCTGAATGTTTGTGCGATGGCTCACAGGTCTTTTTTAAATCTTTAGAGTTAGCTTAGCGTTGATACAGAACAAGACCACACCATCAAACATCACTTGCTTTAAGCACAGTTATTCATATTAAAAAGAAACAAAACAACACATTCCAGCTCTGGATGCAGCGCTACAGATGAATGAAGGCATCAACATGAACCATTTATGTTCCACGATGCTCAGAGTCGGGCTCTGGTTTTGATCCTATAAGGTCCTCCTTCCTCTAAAAACGACTAAAAATCAAACACACGGCTCAGAGGGGAGCAGCAGCTGTCCGCATCACATCAGGTAACATCTGTTTTGGACTTCTAACAGAAAGGAGTGACGCTCAGCTTTTAGAAATCTACAACTAAAATGAACACAGGCTGACGTGTGTGTGTGCGTGTGTGTGTGTGTGTGTGTGCGTGTGTGCGTGTGTGTGTTTCATCTGAGGGAGAGAAACAAAAATGTGACTGGAGCTCAGCCTGCACACAGAGACGCTGTTTACAACATGTTAGTATTGTTTATACTCTGGTTACTTTAAATTAGTGAAGACGAGCTTAGAAGGTTTCATAATCCTTCTTGTCCTTTTTGCCTTCGCCCTCAAAGCTGTCTGTCCCATCGCTGTTGTCGCGGCGACGCTTGCGGCTGGTGTGGACGTTAAAGCGTGGGTTGGTCTGCGGCAGAGGGTCCATCCCCAAAACTTTGTGGATCTGACGGAAGGCCAGCAGCCTCAGAGCGAACTGTACGGAGAAACAGAGTGGACATTTCAGCACAGTGTTTTCATCACAATCAGCTGATAGTGTGTGTGTGTGTTTTAAGAGTGTGTGTACCTGAGCGCTCGAGGTGATGTCCTCTCTCTGCTGCTCTCCCATCGTTGTCAGAGTATCTACCGGCTTCTTCTCACAGGGATCCACCAATCCCGGCCCACCTGTTAGGAATGAATTAATCAGCATCATGTACATTTAATGCTGCAGATCTAGCTTTTGTTTCTTTTCAGGCTCTTTATTTGTACCCGTAGGTAGATTTTTTAAAAAGAAAACAAATTTCTCTATGTATGAATGATGCTTTAAAAACAAACTAACCTGCCTTGAAGTCCTAAATGTCTGAATCTCAGGCATTTAGGACTTGTGTTTTATCCCTGTCTTGTTTGTTTGTTTGTATTAAAGTCTCTGATGAGTGTGAAGCACTTTCTCATCAAGTGTTATAAAAGTACTTTATAAAGTTGTAACTGGTTGCTTTCATAATATATCTGACCCCAGCACAGAACAAATACAGGCAACTTTAAAATTAAACTAATTCTACGCTTCTGAAACACGAGGAAGTGAGGTTTCTTTTGAGTGGGGTATTTCACTTTCATGCCTGTCTCGCTCCTGAAGCTTTATTTTACTTATATGTATTTTACTAAGTTTATTTAACCAGGAAAAGCCTCATTCAAATTAAGAATCTTTTTTACAAGAGTGTTCTGGCTGACAGCCAGCAGCACATGTTGTGTTACTTTTTTTAAAAAAGATTTATTTTTGGGGCTTTTTATACCTTTATTGTAGAGATAGGACAGTAGAAATGAGGGAAAGAGAGTGGGGAATGACGTGCGGGAAAGGAGCTACAGGTCGAATCCAAACCTGGGCTGCCCGCTTGGAGGACTATAGCCTCCATACATGGGGCGTGAGCACTAACCACTGCGCCACCAGCACATTTGAACAGAATTACAGACATTCACCAGAAAACAATCACAAACACAGATCAACATAGCCATGGTAACATGAGCAGGAAGTTATTAGGCAAAGCATCTACTCCCTAATGCATCTTCTTCCAGCACCTTCAATCTCTTTTCAAAACGATTTAAAGACACCAGCCGCCTCAGACTTCTATCCTCCTGCAGGAGATTTCGAGCTGCAGGAGCAGTGTACGTGGAACTCCTTTTCCCTATTTCAATTCACACTCTCAGCAGGAAAGTGCTCAAGTTTACTGAGTGACCAGACTCTAAATGAAAAAGAACGCTCACATCCTCGTCATGGTAATGGCTCCAGACCGTCTCTACAAATGTGGATGAAGTGTGGAGTTGCTGACAGGCCTGAACTGATTTAACTCCTGGTTATATTAATAATAGTCATGTCAAAGTCATTTTTACAGACTTTATTTACAGATTTAAATTTAAGTCAAGCAGAGGTGGAATTGTTTTCCTGATCACTGGAAAGTCTGAGCGTGACATCTCTTATAAACAAAGTAGCGTAGTTGCCACCAACTCTCAGCACACTCATTCCCTCCCTCTAACTTTGCTTAGCTGTTGTGACATGTGAGTGTTGTGAATTAGATGCATTTGATGAGGCTGATTTGCAAATAAAAAAAGGGGCATTTTCCCCCAAAATGGCCCATTTAAATGTGCACAAACGGCACCAGCACACAGAAATGCTGTTTGTGCAGCAGTCAAGTTAGTGGTGCATTTAACCCTTTGACTGTGTTTTGTGAATTAGAACAGCGTCTAATTCCTTAGATAGATTCAGTGAACATGTGAACTAAATTTAGTTTTTTAAAGTTGACCAGGCTAAGCTTGATTTATGAGTTTACAGTATGCACAGAGTGCAACCATATAAAACAAACTTTTTCTGTTGTGAGGCTGGAGATTTCTGAAGGTATTCAAAAAAACTCAGAACTTCAGGTTTGTATGACTTCAATGAAACACAGAAAGGTTAATGTGTTCGTTCTGATTTTTAAGATCCTCACATCAAACAGGAAAAATGTTTTTAATGTTTTCAGAAGGAAAAAAAAAAGAGAAGAACCATGAGAAGAAATAAACTTCAAGTGATTACACAAAACAAAGCAGAAAAATCTTACCAGGGAGTAAAATCCCAGATGAAATACATTCAAAGATACGTCTCAGTCCATCACCGGGGCTGAGGGGGGCCGAGGCACTACTGATGGCCTTCTCTACCAGAAGCTCCATGGCCTGAACACAGGGAGCAGGAAGAATGGTTTAAATGACAGACAGATGTTCAAACTCTCTGTTATACAAGCAACAGTCAGGTGGTCCAAGCACTCCAAGAAAACTCAAGCTCAGAAGCATGAATCTTTTGAAGATACAAAATTTTACAAAGCACTACACAATCTGGAATAAAAATCACACTGGTATAAAAGACACAGTCTGTTGTTAGGGATCGCCCAGAGGGGAAAAAGGTTTAAACCGTTTTCCTGTGTGATGATTTCTAATGTGTAAGTCAATAACTTGCCGTTCCTGTGCAGCTGTGTAGCTCTTTCAGTACCATCTGTATTCACCTTGTGGAGTTTTCAATCATGCTAGCTAAAGTTGTTGAGCTCTCAGCCTACAGATACGTTGACAGTTGTCTAGTAATGACCACCTCCTCTTTAGTCTTTTCTATCAAACCAGTACTCCACAAGGTTTGTTTACTGGACAGTATTAAACGGTTTTCTTTCAATGAAGGATTATGACCTCCTGAGGGAGATATGATGGGAAGTGGAGCCGCCCACGTTAGCCTAGCATAGCATTGTGATGTATTGAGTTTTCAGGGTGAACTGCAAGTGTGAACGCAAAACAGCTCAATATGTCACTCAGGCTTTTTCCAGGGAACCTCCTGCCAGCCCCCTTGAAGAAATGCTGTGCAAAGTCCGAGGGAGCTGATACACAGCCGGATACAATCATGGGAAAATTCACTGTAAGTGGAAGGGGTGGTGACGTTTATTCTCTGTGATCAGTGTACGACCATAGACTGTATGCATGCAGCCAGTGCCATGCCAGTGCATGTTTGGAAAGTCAGATCAGGAGCATTTCCTCCAGAATTCAGAATTCTCAAGACATTTTCAGGAGTGCATATGTGAATATGGCTTGTGTGAAGCTCTTTCTGTGTTCACACATTGTGTCTTTCAAGCCTTCTCAAAGTAACACCATGTGAAATCACACACTGGGACACCAGTGGGGTGGAGCTGGCACTGATGGCACTGTTGCAGACTAACAACGTAAAAGGGGGCTTAAGATTTAAGGGAAGGGGATTTTTGGAGATGCAGAAACTATTTTGGAAGGTAAAGTGTGAATCGGGTCTTGTTGTCTCATTAGAACTCAGAAATGTTTCTGGTTCACTCTGTTTGAGACATTATTCTCACTGGAACATATATCTCTGTTTATTGTTCATACACACTACATCTAACACAAGTGTGTTTAAGCACATTTGGTGAGTGTGCTTTTTTGTGATAATTAATCAGACTCCTGCTTTGAGAAAGTGACCACTGCTGTTCCATCCAAAACACCTACAGTACACGAGGACACCTGTGACAATAATGTGATTGTGTCTATGAGAATAATATGCATGTATACTACTACTGAAACACAGTAGAACTACATTACCTTTAAAATGACAGATTCAAACTAGTTAAAGTTATTTTTGGGCCTCTTTGCCTTTATTGGAAAGGATAGCTGAAGAGAGACAGGAAATGTTGGGAGCAGAGAGAGAGGGGATGACATGCAGCAACGGGCTGAGGACCGATTCAAACCCAGAGTCACTGCAGCGAGGACTATAGCCTCTGTACATGAGGCGCGAGTCATAACCGTGAGGCTTTCTGGTAACCCACAGATCTAGATTTTCATACCTAGTATGACATTAGAGGTAGAAAAGAGCTGAGAAAATGTTGAAGACACCTTTCTTTGTCATAGAGAAATAATGTATAAATGCTGTTCAGAGTCCTCAGACAGGAACATCTTAAAGCTTCCACTTCGAGCTATCTGGGTTTTAAGATCCCTGATTTTATTTCGCAAACATTTATGTTTCATGAACGTCAGTTTCTAAAGCACAGAATCGAAGCTCAGTGAATCGAAGGTTCAAATGTTTCATTTGTTTAACTAACATGAACTTACCCATCCAGGGAAGGGGGGACCAGGTGGGGACTCTCTGACAGAGGTCTCTCAGGATGCGGATGATGATCACACAGGACTGAAGTCCGTTGGCTCTAGCCTTTTGATGCAATAGAGTTAGGATTACACAGTAACAAACAGGTGACAGGAGATGGACCAAACAGGTGAATCAGTTCTGCCATAGAGGTCCAAACACTACTGTGCATAATGGAAGCTTGAGTATGCTTAGGTGCAAATAAAGCCATAAGAGTTTGCAATCAGCTGCCATTCTCAGTAGTCTTGTACCTCACAGTTAGTAAGGGAGTTCAAAGTTTGCAAGATGCACAAGAAATGAGGACGTTTCTTGCCATCTTCTAAACCCTGACCCCAGGTTTATTCAGGTTTCTGACAAACAGGTACGTAAAGTACAAGAGTCCGCCTGAGAGGAGAGTATAGGGACTGAAAGAGACAAAGAAATCTGCTTTACTTTACCTGTGCTTGTGCTCCGAGAGCAGAATCACAGGAAACTACTCAGATATTCATTTTTCTCTCAATCCCCAACCTACCAAATATATATAGAATAAAAACAATACAAACATGGAAGCACTTCTTGATGGCACAACTCTGTGCAAGTTATTGTGCAGCCTTATGGAATAACATGTAACTGGATGTCGTACTGGGACAATTGAAAAGGGGATACAAGGATGCCAGCTCTTTGTTTAGACTTTTTTTTAATAGGAGAACTTTAAATTAAATTAAATTCATATTGCTGTGATGGACATTAATCAGATCCTTGTTGTTATATTTGGCATCCTTGAATATTTTTTTTCTCTTCGAATAGTAATAGTTTTCCTCATAGTTATAAAATGAAAACCAAATGTGTGAAACACAAATAAATGAATAAACAAATAAAGAATGCATCTCATAAGGCTACAATAAGAAAGTAAAATGATGTTCCGAACCTGGAACCACTTAGCGTGGCGCAGAGCAGCCAGAGCGTCAAGGCATTTTTGCCTGTCCAAGACGTCCGCTGGGTCTTTCACCATACCCGAGGTTACATCTAAAAATGGATTTCAAGTGTCAAAATGGTGATGAGGAACGGGTGTTTGACCAGGTCAGCGAGGCTGGCAGAGAACAAACACATTGCCACACATACCAATGGTTGTCTTGTTGTTTTTGGATTTGTACAAAAGTTACTAACATAAAAAAACTGACTACACAAACCTACACATGGTCAGAGTGGATAGAAACAGATCGACAGTGTACAAGATGTTAAGTCATTATATTCTGTAAGAAGAGTGTGAATTCACTGACTCAACAATGAACATGGTTACACTGGTGTGTTTGTAGCTACATTATATGTGTTTATCTCAAAGATATCATGAAGCCAGTACCATTTTATCAGGTTATTGTGTTTTAAAAAGATCCCCGTTTCTTCCTTTAGTTGCATGGGAGCAGATTTTTGTTTTTGGTTCAATTTCAAACACAGAGGAGGAATTTAATAATAATGATTTTTAAGACCAGTTACGACCAGAGATTTGCGACAAGAGAAGTTCAAACTACTTTGAAAGCTCTACTCTAAGATCTCATAACCCTCCTGTTTATCTTACAGGATTATTATCTTACATGTGACTGAGAGGTGGTCTGCTTTCTGTCTGGATCATGGTGAAGCCCACAGCACAGAGCTTCAGGTCTGTGTCTGTTTTAAAGGAGATAGGGCTGAACTACACATTAATACATTTGTGGAGTATCCACAAAATGGAAATATTTTGTTAACCGTTTCGATACCATGGCAACAAAAACTGAAGTCCCAATACTGGGTCATTGCTTGTCTTCAATTATCAAAACAAAAAAGGTGCACACCGTCCAAATGGCACAAATCACTTTGCAACGTTTGGGTTCCCTACAGGCAGCCGACTAAAACTTGGCCACAGTTTTGTTCAGTTTCGACCGAATGAATGATTTTGCCTGCAGCTTTTGATGGTTTCATTCCTCTCCTGCACACTTTTCTTATGAAAAAGATGTATTTGTTTTTTAAAGCTTCGGAACTTTTAAATACTAAAACATCATAGACCATATAGTTTTTAAACATGTGGTATCTGAAATTATGACAACCTTAAAGCCTGCGAGTTTAGAATAGCAGACTGACATGTTTCTGTCATGTATATTTCGGTGATTTAATCTTCTCTTTGTCCAAATCTCTCTTTATAGTTCAAACTGTCAACTTCTCAAAAACCCTTTTCACCTGCGATGTTGTAAAATATTTTTACTTGTTGCAAATCTTGGTCTGAACCTGCTTTAGTTTAAGGCGGCTGCAGAGAGAAACGAAGGGTCAATGGTTTATAAAATAATGACCTGATAAAAAGTGGCATGGCAGTAGTAGGTGTGGCAAAGTTTTTGGGATGTGAGAAAACCTTGGTCAAAAATCCTTCCGCAGCTGTCGGGCCCTTCTTAAACTCTGATAGGAGACAATGGAGACTTTTTTTTTTCCTTTTTGTTTTAAGAAGTAAAGGGGTCTGTGTTCTGGACTGGTAAAATATCACTACAGATATAAAGAGGAGGAAGCAATGGGTGCTGAAGAAGAGAAAAAAACATGAGAACTACCAGCAAACGAAAGGGGTTAGGATATCACTGCATGCATACCTAACATCAGCAGGTTGGAATAAGACCCCAACAATCCAGAGGCTGTACTCAGGTCCAAACACAGATTCCTCTCACAGCCTGCTAACCTGAGCACTTAACAATACTCCCCTAAGAATACTTTCAGATCATCAGATTTTAAAGCATTGATCACAGGTTGAGTTCATATTTTAATTGAACAGAAAATGGACCTCGTCTTTCTTTTTTTTTTGTGAAATCAAAAAGACAAAAAGGTGGTTGGTGTTTTCTGAACAGATCTAAAGTTTACCTCCTGGTGGGCCCGATTAAGAGTCTGATGTGTGTAAAATAAAATAAAAAGTGATCAACTCAGGGGAGCACTTTAGGAACAGGGGACCTCAGCATGGTGAACTGATCGCCAGTACACAAAAGGAAGATTTGTTTCCTGTGAGAAAATAACATTCAATCTCCTCTGACAAACCTTGTTTAGAGAAAAAATTCAAACAAGTTTGCAAACTTTATGCCAAATTCAAACTTGAGGAACAGAACTGTCTCCTGTTGTCTGCATTTTAAATCTTCTGCACTCTTTTTTGACTCCTCGTCTCAAAGTTACTGTAATGCATGTCTCCCATTGAAATATGGCTGACAGTACAATGGAAACAGAATCGCCTGAAACACAGGAAACAAAATAGAATCTCACCTGGGAATAACTAGACTTAACACAATGCAAACACTGATCATGCTTTGTTTAAAGGATAAAGATAGCTTCTGAGAGGAAGGAGTTACAGAGCAAAGAGCCTAAGAGCAAAACTGCTGGCACGTTTCTCTTTCTTCTTTTAGATCCACTGATCTGTTCCGCATCATTTAAAGGAGAGAAATCACTTAAGTAGGGGTCTCCTATCACAAATCAGTAAAAAAAAATGTTATAAATCGGTTATTTAATTAAAATAAATAATCTCTTCTAGTGTTTTTAGTTGTTTTAAATGAAATGTCTGCAAAGGAAAGAGACCACAGCTAAAGTTCTGATGAGCTCACACTCCTCGTTGCCCCGTCATTTTTGATTTCTAAAAATGAATCACAAATGAGGAGCAAGTTTCCAGGATGATCAGATCTAAAGCCCAACAAAACCCATGTTTGTGGAGTGCCAGCAGGTCGCTGCTCTTCAGGGACTCAACCAACATGTCGAAATTGATTTCATAGAGAGAGCAAGAGAGAGAGAGAGAAGGGCAAGAAAAGAGGTGCACAGAAAAGGGCTGTGAGGGGGTCTCCAACCTCCGTCCCGGCCTGTCTCCTCTCTGATGATGGGCGAGGTCAGCGTGATCGTCACTTGCATCTTTGGCTCGGTACAGGAAGTCAGAATAATTGCCGCTTCCTGGATAGATCCCTTCACCTCGTATTTCTCTGGTGTTACAATCTGAAACAAACAGCACAGATACAAATGTAGTTATTTTCTTGCCGACTGTTATTTTGACCGACAAGGTCGTAGAAGTTCTGTAATAATGTGTTTTTACATTTTTTAAAATGGGACTGGATCAGTTTTTCAACAAATATTGAAACCACTGCTCTTGTTCAGTCCCGTCTGTGCTGTTAAGAGATAAACTGAACCTTTCAAGAAACGACCACCTGACAAAAACCTACAGCACTTGTCACTGTGAAGCTTAAGTAGTAGTGCAGTTTGGCTATCGTCAGCACTCGCTAGCTCATGCTAATCGACCTTTTCAGTTACAGCATTGCATGTATGCTAGCGCAATTATGCTAGCGCAAGTCGTCTGTTACCCTGCTGTTGTTCTGACTAAATGTGACTCAAATTGAAGTTTATTGAGGAAAAGAGCCACGAAGATGTTATGTGTGCTACAGTCACGCTACATTGAATTTCAAGGCCATTGTTGATGTAGGTTTCAAGTGCCAGACAAGATGAATATGGCATATAACGGAGAGCAAATTTTGGGCTCTGTGGCTATTTCATAAATCTGACTATTAAAGCTTTCACTGAATATATATGTTGATGTGTGATATCCTGAAAGAACAGTACTGTTAGCTGTTTGGGGAGGTGCTCCAGGATGCGGGTCAGGAGGCTCTTGGTGGGTTTCTCAGAGCACAGCAGGACCAGGTTTACGTTCTTATCCCCACGAAGTAGCAGGCCTTTAGCCAGGACTCCAACCCTCATCACACCCTTCAGTGCCCTGAAACAGTCAGACGAGGAAGAGAAACATGTGAAACAATGTCAGATATCAGAGAAACAATAAATACAGAAATATACAGTTTCATTCATTCTTTGCTTTATTTTTGCGTCTCTTTCTTTTCAACTAGGTGTCTCCTTAGAAATGGAAATCTCTTACTTTTGTTTATTAGAAGGAAGTGTGTAATGAGTGGAGACGGGTAACCTGTCAATAACACAAGCTGTACCATTTAGTAAACAATAGAAATGGATGAAAAAAGACTTAAGAAACCCACTTCTCACACCTGTCTTTGGCAGGTTCTTTTTTCTCTTTGTCCTCCTCCTTGCCCTTGTCCTGGTCTGTTATAATGTCAGAGACAAGCTTGAGAGCCCGTTCTGTGATCGACACGATCTTCTGAATGGACTGGAGCTCATCCTCTGAGGGGTAGATGGCTGCGTGTTTGGTCATGACGTAACGATCATCTGAAGAATCAGGCCGACGAGGAGGCTGGAACACACAAAAGATCAAATCAGGTTAAAACAGAATACAGAGAGGGGATCTGTAGAGGACAGTATAAGCAGGAACCCAATGTAACAACACTCAAGATTTTGTTTCCTGCATTCTGATTTTTATGTACCAATTTCTGCATTAGCGACACCATTTTATAATCATGATCTAGTCTTGTGTCCCTGTCTTAAAGAGTCTATCTTGATGCTTTTATACCAATGATAAACACGTTTTATTTATTATTGCAGCATGCACAGAATCAAGTTACAATGTCCAGATTATATAAAAGCATTTTTGTCCAGATCCCGCTGAAATCATCGCCTCTTCCCATTTCTGTTTGCTTGTAGGGTATGTGTCTGCTCCTCTGGCAATCTTAATCAGACGTGTGTTTTAAAAAGATACCAAAACAAAACAACCCCAGTTTCACTTAGGTTTCCATTATTACAACAGATGAGTCTCATATGAGGGCTAGTCGCGGGCCGTATGACCAAAACAAGCTCGCTAATTTTAGTCATATTGGACTTGAGAGAAGCAAGTTGCCAGTTGAAACACACTGTCAGCAAGTTGACCCGTCCTAATAGAGAAGCAAATCTGTGCTGCGCTGAGCTCAAGTGACACCAAGTCAAGCCATTCCAGCAAATAACCTCTATCAAAGCCCGGACCGAATGAGACACGCTGCAAAAAGGCAAACCCACTAAATGTTCTTTATTCACTAAAACTTTGAGAGGTAGAATACAAGTTTACCTGATTGCTGACACCTGCTCTGAGACGAGGAGGCAGCAGAACCCTGTGATCAGTGGGCATGTGAAACCACTGGCTCTACTCTTAGCGTTAGATTGAAACATGCAAAAGACCGGGGAACTCTATCACAGCAGTTGTCTGTCACAAATGCCTCCAATCTACAATGTTACGTTACTTATTTTTTTAAACCTACCACAGGACCCTGTGGCTGCATGCCAGGCATGCCAGGCCGGACTCCCAGTAGACCAGGAGGTCCCTGTGGATACCCTCCGTCTGGAAGGCGACGTCGATCATCCCAATGATGCTCCTCCTCCATACGCCTCCAGTACATGTCTTCTTCATAACGCCTGAAAACAAAATACATTGAACTTCATTGATACAGAGGAAAATTCCCATTTCACACATTCCCATTTTGCCCAGAGAGCATAGCTGTCCTTAAAGAGCCCATATTATGCCCCTTTTGGGGTTCGTATAGTTAATCTATGTACCTACTAAATTCCGAAATAAGTGTCTGTTTTCATGTACTGCGGCTCCGTGCACCGGCTCGCTTCTGACTCTCTCTCTAAGGCTCTAAAGTGCCCACGTTCAGAGTCCCCACATGTGCCAAGTCTGAACTGATTGGTCGGCCTGTGGGCTCTGCCGTAATTGGTCAGTCGCTCAGCACGGTTCTCGGAAATGTCCCGCCCCTTTTACCATATTGGGAATGCAGCCACTGGCTCCGTCCCAGGGGAGCGTAAACATTAGCACCTTAGCACTACTGTGCTACCGCAGGCTACGGCATATCGTGGGCGTGCTACAGAAGTTAACGGGCATGCAACATGAGCTGCTGGGCTTGCCACAACGAGCCAATGGGCTTAGATCAGTGATGTCACACTGACAAGACGTCACACTGGCAAATTTTTACGGGTTAGAACCGAGCGTTACATGCAGCTAATGCTACAGCTAACAGGAGGAGGTAAGAGAAGCTGTGTTTCTGCGGACTTTGAATTTTTGCACATAGATGTGCCTAAACATGCACAGGACACATGGAAAACACACTAAAGAGCATATAAAACCAGAAAAAGCACAATATGGGCCCTTTAAGGCAATTGATGTGAGTAAATTATCATAAATACATCTTTCCTCCTGTATAATAAGAAATGAATTTACCGCATCTCCATTCTCCAACGCTCCTCCTCCTCTCTTCTTCTCCAGTACTCCTCTTTCTGCATTTGCTTCCTCATCTTCTCCTCCTGAATCTTACGTGCTCGAATGCTCGGCTTGACCTCCACCTGCAGCTCGGGGTTAACCTTTTTCTGCAGAACAAATATTTGAAAATGACGTCAGGGTTGTTATAAAGATGATACAAAATCAACATTAAATGGATACTCTTTTACTGCCATGGCAACAAAAACAGGAGTCCTTGGCACCCAATATTAGGTAAGTTATTGTTTTAATATTAGATTGTTTTAAGCTATAATGTCATATAATGACATATAATGTCTTATAATGTCAGCAAAACTACTGTGCACTAACACTTTAAAGTGCACAAATACATTGCCAACATTTTTGTGCAATTTAAAGTTTGGGTACTGTTCGATTAAATTGATAAAATAACGGATAGTATCACTTTGAAACACATGGTAAGCTGGCAGATAGGTTATATATCTATAAATGAAAACTTGATAGTTTCGATATTTTGCAGATTTTAGACACGGAAACTTGTTTTGCGTATTTATGAAAACTTTCATTAAAACCCTCTTTGAGACTTCTGATAACAGCAGCAGGTAAACATAAAGTAAAACAATTTTGTCAGATACAAACCTTGTACTGCAGGCGATGTCTTCTCCCTTTTAGATGCATTTCTTTTGCATTTGGATCATTGAAACTACATTCACACAGCTTGCAGTGGAAGCGGATAACTTTGCCTTCATCATTTCGTACCTGGAAGATAAACACATGTTAAACTCCATATCAAGTAAACGTATGTTAGCTTCAGTTCATGCACAAGTCCATCCCAATATACCTCCTCCACATAGTCATGACCGACAGGCTGGACGTCACTCTGAAGAGCAGCAAGGGCCGATGAGGACAAAGAATCTGATATGTCAGTCTTTTGCTCCGACAGACCTGAAGAGGGTGTTGCAGGTTTAGCAGAATCTAGCTTTGCCTCCACTCTGCCCTCCTCCATCTTCACTGTGGACTGGAGTTTATTTCCACCTGAATTTGAGAAATTACAACTTGGTTTATTCATCAACCATTTCCCGACAATCTCAATTTTCCATTTAAATTGTGTGCGATCTTTAGAGATGTAAACAAAGCTTAACACCGAGCTCACATGAATCCAGATTTTGCACCATAAACGTGCTCGTACTTACCAACAAAGTTGATCTTTGGGGTGTTGACTTTCTTCCCAGCTGAAGCGGAGCTGGCAGCAGAGAGGCTGCTGGTTAACGGATTCTTGACTCCACCAACACCACTGCTGACGATGTTAACAGGTTTCAGGTAGGGGGCGCTGGAGGCGGAAGCGGTGGAGGAAGAGGCGGATCCCCCCAAAGAGCTGGAGGTGCTGGAACTGTTCAGGGGAGCTGTGGTGGTCTTATTGGGGGCAGCTGTGGTGGAGGACGATGACTGAGTGACCATACTGGGCTCAGTGGAGGGAATTGGCTTTCCAAGTTTAGTGTGAAGCTTCACAACCTGCAGAGGAGGATTCAGGGAACATAAATAGTCTTCCTTAGAGGCGCTCTTGAGAAAATATTGTATTTTGTTATTTATATTTAAATTAAATTAATATAAAAACATGAGGTTTCTTGTTCACAAGGAAATACTTTAGTTGTGGACAGCAAAGTTTTCTTTGGTTGCTCAAGTATCCTGCCAAAAACTGAGACGTCACTAAGCTGGCAGCCTTACAGCGTCTGTAGGTGTGAACTTGAATGGATGTCTGTCTTCACTGTGAGCTGATTTAAGCTTTAGCCCACACATAACTGCACTAAATAGAAGGGTATATTTATATAACACCATTGCGCTTTCATGTTATGCAACCAAGAAATTAAGGAAAAAAATGATGTTGTTTTTTAAGTTTGCACAAAGACTATGCGCAATTTCTAAAAAAGAAAATCCAGAACACTTTGAATTGCAAGGAATAAGTTTAATTTAGCTTGTATCCTTACCTTCTGGTGTTTGGCTCCTCGGATATGTGCAGCGTAGGCGTCAGCACCGGTGCAGGAAACATCGCAGAGTTCACAGCGAAGCTGATTCTGAGCATTTCGAGCCAAAACTCCTCCACTGCTGCCGCTGCTGGTGCTGCTCTGAGAAACTTTGAGAGCTGCCTCCTTCTTCTTGTGCTTCTGACCTTCGAGATGTTCTTTATAAGTCTGTTGTCAGTGGATAGAGGGGGTCAGAGATATCCATATTTATATTACACAAATATTTGCGTCATGGAACATCATTGAACTCACCTGTGGGCCGGCACAGCTGATCTTACAGACGTCACAGTAGTGGATCTGAGGGGGTTTGGGGGGCTGTTTTGGTCGGAGCTGTTTATTCTGGAAGGGGGGTTTTTTGGTGAAGGTGTTTCCTGTCCATGCTGCTGTAGCTGCTACCGCTGCCACAGCCTGTTTCTGTTGCTGCTGCTGCTGGTAGTAACTGGAGGCCGCAGAGTAAACCGCTGCCTCATAGCCCGAGTATGACGTTCCTGGATAAGGATACAACGAGGACAGCTAAGAACCTGCATGTAGTTACATCATCTTTAAGGCTCCATCAATAATTAAAGCTAAAGTTTAATGCTACTACCCGATGTCCTGTTCATAAATCTAAAGCCTAGTACTAATTAAATCTTACCAGAGTAAGTGACAGCGTTGGTGCTGTACGTTGGGCTCTGGGAGTAAGACGGGACCACAGAGGCGGCAGCGGCCACAGGCTGGACCGTGGAGGTCACTGGGTATATGGAGAAGGTGGAGGAGGCTGGACTGGGAGCTGCTGGTTTTATCACAGTCACTTGTCGAGTCTGCTGGCTCTGCGTGTACGATGTTACACCCTGACTGTATCCTGGTTTAGGAGCTGGAACACACAGAGATGATTAGACGTTACTGCTCACAATAGCTTTCTTTAAATGTACGGAGGAAATACAGAATGATTGGCTGACATTATTGGCTGCAGAACGGTAAAGTGCTGCTGAGTGTGTCAGTCAGCACTTGTTGTCTGTTGCTCCACTTATATCAACTTTGGTCTTTGGCATAGGATGTGAGCTCGGGCATTTTAATCATTCCTGGCGTACTTCACTTCATTTTGCAGACCCTGCACATTGACTACGTTAAGTGAGGCTTCCTCTTATCCAGGAGATTATCGAATCCACAGAGCGCTCTAACGCTTTCCTTCAACGAATGCCTTGCTCCAAAGACAGTACAGGCAGTATGTTAGGTATGTTGGACACAGCCATACATTACCAACACTGAGAGCTAGCTAGTGTTAGAAGTGCAACTGATGAGCCAGGACCAGGATGGTAGAGAGGGTGCACGAGAAGAATGCCAGCAGCAGGTTTACTGTGCTTAAACTGGCTGCTTGTGAAACTTCAGTAGGAAAGTATGTCTTCAAAATTTGATTTGCGGATGTTTAGGATCGATTCTGAATCGTAGACGTTAATAACTGTGATTCTGATGTGATTCAAATTTTTCTCACACCTCTATTATCTTTTACACCTAATGTTACAGTAAGTAGAAATGAAGAGTGTGTTCGCTGGCAGTGATTAAACTAAGTCTTATTACCCCATTAAAACCCAGATGTTGGGGATGGTCTGTCAGACTATCATTGTTTATCACCCTCCCATAGACCAAACAGATTAATTTTCACTCCAACTTTAACCAAACTGTGTCCTACCACCCCCCTCAGTAAATATATCACATGACATCGGGTTGAGCTGATGGGAGAATGCATCAGGGAATATTCAGAAAAATTAAGACGAGAGGGAATGATGACAATAATATCCTGTGACCAGTGTACGACCATAAACTGTATGTGCACTACCAGCGGAGACCTTTCATGCGCCCAATGAAACCACTTCATTTTGTTTTGGTCACTATTTTCTTCTCTGCTCGTTGTTTATATTGTAAATGTGTCCAATGACATGTTGTATTTATATAAATGCAATAATTGCCATCACATCATCTGCCACTTCTACATTGTTCTTTAACTTCATGTCTTGCATCCTGAGGCCCACCTTCTGTTAGAGAGGGAAAGTCTTCCGCTTTGATGTGTGAACAGGCAACTCAGAAAGATTTAAGGGACTCTGCCTGAAGTTTTCTAAAGGTTTACAAGAGCGCATAAATTAAAAAGCTCATGGTTATATTAAATGAATGTCTGTTTTTTCAAATGGTATAAGTGAATAAAAATGAGTTGAGTGTGTTTACCTGTCTGGTAGTAGGACTCTGCCACATTGGGTTGTGGCTGTGCAGCAGCAACAGCCGCTGTGGCAGTGGGCTGCTGGTAGTACTGTTTACTGTCATAGGCTACAGCAGGAGCTGTGGAGCGGACATATGAGTACGAGTCCTGCGGAGGGAAACAGTGAAGAAGTTAGCTTTTTAAAAAATCCAGTGTGAATTCTGAGATTTTTATTATCTCTGCAAACTGAAAATGTACCTGGTAGTTCTGTGAGGTGACGGGTGGGGGTGGTGGAGGGACTTCAGGCTGGCGCTGAGCATAGCCATAGTCGGTGGCAGCGTGTGTTGGCTGGTATCCTCCATAAGCAGCAGCAGTAGCCGCAGCTGCTACGGCAACAGGCGCAGGCCTCGCTACGGCAACAGTGGCTGCGGTCGGAGCATAGGCTGCTGCCACAGTGTGAGCCGCCACAGGAGCTTGATGAACTGTGTAACTGGCCACTGTGGTGGGATGAGTGTAGGCTACCCCAGCTGATGGCTGCTGACTGCAAAGAAACACCATGAAAGATTCAAAGTTTTTATTAGGGGTGTAATGGTTCACAGAGATCACAGGTCGTTTCACACCTCAGTTTTTGGGTCAGGCTTCAGTACAAATTCGGTCAGGAAAAGCAGGGCAAACGATAACAAATGACTAGATACATATTTCAAGGTTTCTCTAATTTATTTTAAAACAACAGTAGTTCAAGTCAGTCTGTTCAATGTTGTGTTATTTCGAACCACCTGTGATAGTTGGTACGACCTAAAGTGTTTTAACATTGAACAAAAATGAGAAAAAGGCTTTTTAAAAACTGCCTATCTCTGTTGATTGACATCTCTTGGTAATGCCGTCTTACATACATTAGCATGTTCAACGTGTACCGCACTGTGAACCTTAAGTTCATGCACACAACTGATTTAAGGAAGCAGGCGTCTTCTAGCTCTGCTGGATCATCTTGAAACCGTATATTTCTCTTCTTCGTACTTTGTTTAACAGGGATTAGCACTACAAGCATGACAGCCACCTGGATCGGGGTGTGAAACTGCAATGTGTGATGCTTTTTTTCTCCACTCAGACATATTTGTCGTATGACTTCATGACCGAATCTGTGACATTCATAGTGACGCCAAATCAACAGGGGTGTAAAAATCGCATTCTTGAACCAGCAGTCTGAATAGGGCTACAGAAAGGCTAGTGTTTAGATATTTTCAATAAATAGTTAATTGACAGCTGTCTGAAACTTAAATGTAATTGCCATTAAAAATAAGTGAGATTGCATGCAGTTTTGCTGTCAATAATAGATAACTTTAAAAAGAAAATTGGTTGGCGGCTGTGGCTCAGTTGGTAGAGTTGTCGCCTGTCACCCAGAAGGTCGAGGGTTCAATCCCCAGCTGAGCAACATGTCCGATGTGTCCTTGGGCAAGACACTTAACCCCGCTGCTTCTGTGGCGGTGCATGAATGGATTAGTGTTGTGCTTAATCTCTGATGTATGTCGCTTTGGATAAAAGCGTCTGCTAATTGAATTGTAACATTGTAACAATATAACATGAGTCATTATTGGCAGATCAAATCTTGCAAATCAGAATCAGCCTAAGACATTCCAACCATTGAATCTCTACATGCAACACAGCAATAAAGAAACACTAAACCAAAGTGGATAGGGTTCATTTAACTGAAATGTGATCATGAATGATTATTACAAGGTGAACAACAACCGTATAAAGCACTTTTATTTTAATATAATTTTGATCTTCATTCTTTAATACAGTAGTTAATGTGGGGCTCTACCTTTTGGCTGGTAATACAAGGTGTATTCACACCTGTCTTCCAAATTACTGTGACACTTTAAGCAGCTCTGATGATTTTTGTGTGGTGTCTGATAACCCTTTAAACACAGTGTTTTATTACAAGCTTTATATACAGCTCATGTAACTGTATAATATCTGAGCTTCATCACAGATTGTAAAGCGTTTGAATCCCCTTGTACTTCACAGTGCTCCTCCGCTGACATGTCACTGCAGCAGCGGAGGGATACCCGCCCCCTCCCCCCAGCTCGACGATGGCAGCTGCTGGAGCCTCACAGCCTCTGCATCACCACACAACCTGAGCCCACAGCTTTACTCACTCACATTACGCAGCACATTGACATAAATGCCGAGTATCCAGGATATCCTTACCTATATTGGGCAGCAGCGCCGTGGGTAAATCCAAAGTAATTGCCGGTAGCCATTTTGGCATCTTCACCGAGCCGGCTGGGCACTGCGGAGGACAGATACACAGGATGACGCTAAGCTAAGCTAACAGTTAGCATCAGGCTCAACCGAGAGCTTCAAGGACTCCCATTTAACCTTATTATCTCCATACAGCTTTACTTTAAATTAATACATTCTTAATTACTGACTGGTACATAATAAGTACGTTTATGAAATACTCACCATAGGTGAAGGACACTACTGGACATATGGGAATCATTGGTTTCGTATTTTCTATCGTTGCCCGTACTGCAGACCAGCCTTATTTCATGTCGTTCCCGGATATCTGTGTCGGCGCATGCGCAGAGGAAAGGGTTATGTGGTTGTTTGTTTTCTGTTCGAAAAACTTTATTAAAGCAACAGCAACATTACACGACCAAAACATTTTTAAAAAATCGTGTTAAGATACAGACATTAATTAAAGCACACACAAAAAGCGCAGAGATAGAAAGTGAGCAACCGAAAGCAATCATTTATTACATTTTTACATCTACACAATATTTCTCAAGCCATGTCTTGAAAGTTCTTGACCGAGGATGACTCTATGTTTACCATAATAAAAACTGGAAAAGAGTTTGGTAGACCGAAAACACATTGAACATGTTTTACCATAATTTCTGTTATAGTAGCCAACCGTTCTCATACATAAGAAAAGCAACTTGGATTGTATATTTACTGAATATGTGTAATATATAAGTTGAGCCTTAATTGTGGAGATACCAGGGGAGGGGAGGGGATTTGTTTTTACCAGTCTCAATCTCACTGTGACGTCACAAAGAGAGACAATTTGAAACTGAGCATTTTTCTCTGTGTTGTAAGATTTATGCAGACCACAGACTGGATGGGTTTATTTCACATTTTGTGGGTCGGTAGAAACTAAGGTTATCCAAATATAGGTTGAAAAACACTGTCAAATAGTTTTTCATAATATATCCCCTTTAAGTTTCCTTTAATTTCATGAGGGGAAACAAAATAAATCTCTGGCTCTCCAAGATTACGACAAGGCCTTCAAAATTAGGGATTAGGGACCCGGCCATCTCAAGAGCAGAGTAACCCGTTACTCTTTTTCTTATAATTCAGATATTTGTGCATGCTGAACACATGCTGTTATCTAAAGGTTGCTCTAAAAAGATTTCCTTCATAATCAATGAGGGAGCCAAAGTCTCCCTTAATTTCCAAACACGTGTGTAAGAATGCTTACATTATAGATAAAGGTAGTTTAAGACGTTTACATTTAGACTTTGTAGCATGAAGGAAAAGACATATGGTTGAGTGATTTTACCCTCATTGCTGCATCACTGGTGCCAATTTTTGATATTTTAATTAAAACAATAAGGCCGCTCTAAACAGAGGTCCGTGGCAATTTGAATCAGTGCATCACTACTTCATGATTTCTTACTTGTGACATTAACACTGGTAATGTGAACAGAAAAAGAAGACATCAGGATAAAAGAAGGGGCTTTTTATATTCTTCAGTTGACAGATGGTGATGTATCATTGTATGATTGTCTTTCAATACAGCAATTATTGCAGAATCACTGTATCGCTGTACTTTGAGGTCACAAAGGTCAGAAACAGAGATAAATATCTGTTAAAGAAGTTGTTCAACGCAGGAGTCTTCAAAGGCAAGACATGACATAAAAAAGATTTGGCAGTTTTAATGTTTACAAGATATCCAAGATGGCAGCCCGGGCAAAGTGTGAAAGTTTTCTTCAACGTGGCCCTAATGCTCTTATTACTCCTTAATACTCTGTCGTACATCGATGAGTCCAGGCATCCAATTATTCTGCAGTAATGCGGCAGTTTCTGGACACGACACAGCAGACTACTGATTTTTTTTTTTTAGGCTTTTATTGAGATCTCTGATCAGGGTATAATGTTATTGTCAGGGTATAGTACAGATGTGTCAGGGGACTTCTGGGTGAAACACCAACCAAGCAGACGACTGACATGATGCTATTTCTTGTCTGCAGAGTTGATAGTTCCAATAAAACCAAAAGTGGATTTGACTATCTGTCTCTTGTTTAGATGATCCGAGCAGACCCAGGTTTGCTTAGTCTGAAGGCCTTGGTACATAGGTGAACTGTCTTATCTCAATATCTTGAACAATATCAGAGGTTATATTTAGAGCACAATTGGCATTATTACATTAATAAAAACAGTACTGTACTTCTTTCCCTCAAAACAGTGCTGCTAATTCAAAACTTGGGTTTAATTTTCCTCATTTATCTCCATGTCCTCTTTTCATGTTCGTCAGCCACCTATTCTATTTTATTGAATTATGCATCCTTTGTCTTTTCTGTTGTTTATTCACGTGTTGTACACAGCACCAGAGATTATAATAGTGCTAAAAAAGTGACATCAGAAGGCTTTTTTTTAATCTCTTTCTTTATCACTCAGTGGCTCCTTTTAAAAAGCTAAAGATGTTTTTTGTCTTAGTGTAACATTTGTACACATTGCTTCTTTAAACAGGTCAAGTGTATTCACCATAACAACATAAGAAGGAAGGAATGTGTATTACAGTGGAAGCTTCATAACTTGAGTTAAACCACTATATCATCTAAACCAAAGCTTTGAAACTCTTTTAGGAATTTCTTTGGTTAATTTAGTTATTTAACATGATTTAGCTTTGATAACATCTTCCTCCTTTCTTATATTTCTACCCTCATATATCTAAAAAAATGAAGACATTGACAGAGACAGTAAGAAAAAACAAATAAATGAGAGGTGAAATGCTATCTTCAGAAATCTTTATTTAACACAGAAAAATAGTGAATTCAATCCATGGAAAAATAACTTTACAGAAAAGGTAAATCTAGTGAAAAACATTGCTTAGGAAAAATACACATAGGTCATGTCCCGAAGTGCTGCACACTCAAATATGTCTGAGAAATATCAAATGTCGAACAGCTTAATGACGTTAGGCTAAAGTTACAAATGACATTGAACGGACATCAATGACTACAAAAGATCACAAAATTAAACATACCAACGTGACGTAGGCTACACGATGGCTTCAGAAAATCATCCTCGCTAAAAGTGATGAAAAGAAACATGTGAGGGGTTAAATATGAGACGACTATCAACACCCACACAGCTACGCTTTAAAATCTCTACATGACATATGTTAATCTAAAAATAACATGTTAGTGTAAAGACCTGAGTTCAGCTCAACGTGTTTTGGTAAAAGTACAGATCACTAAATATCAAACACACAAAGAAGAACTAAAAAACGAATCTTAATCCTGTGTGAAGGAAGAATCTACAGAAGCCCTACATTACCAAACTTTACTCATATTTCCTTTTGATAACATGTACCTTTCTTTTGTTGTCTCAGGGGCTCGACTTGATCATCTCCTAATCTCAGTATAACGTCATAATTTTTTCAAGGTAACAACCGAAATGTACTTGTAATCACAGGAAATCGGAGTAAAAATATAATGCATGAAGGTCTGCTCAGGGCTTCAGTATGAATCTGTTGGAGAGTCTCACAATTCAAAAAAGGACCAATTCCTTTGATCTCACCAAATATCTTCATTCACTCTTGTTGCATAATTCTGAGTTCAAAAAAATCACCGACACAAATCCTCAAAATAAAATCTCAATCGGAAAAAGAAACCGCAAACATTTTCAGCTCCTACACCCTAAATTCAAACACATTCACATTGAGAGAAGCAAATATTTACAATATAAAAATATTATTCACCACTTTTCAAAGTTGTCATTAAAATGCATATTATGGCTTTTTTTTTTTTTAAAGAAATAGTTAAATAAATAATCAAATCTGGCCCTGCTGCATGTTTCCATCCAGGTTGGTATTTGTTGGTTTTAATCTCAAAATCAAGGAAACACATTATCAGTGAGTTTGTGGTTATTAAGTATGAACTTTCCCCCCATTTTTGTACAATTGTGACTTTACATTACATTACTTTAGTGAGTTAAAGGCCTTTATTGTCATTGCATTGTAACAGGAAACAAGGAGGTTGAGAGTGCCGCTCCTGGTTGGTGCATTTAGAGGTTTAAATACAGTTTGCATTTTATATCAATGGCCAACCCTGTCTCACGGTAGTTTGTGAGAATATTCCTAAGAAACTGGGGTCCTGTGTGAGGCAAAGAGTGGAAACTGTTGACACACATGATAGTTAGTTTAGTTTATAAGGAAGTTCTGGGCTAAAATAAAAAAGTCCATGGAGGCTGGCGGGCTCAAAATTTGTGCTTCCACCACAACGAACTGCACGAAAATACTTCCATTTGAAATTTGTTTGCACAATCACACAAGTACATTTCTGTCTTTGTGTACTGTGTGTGTCGTGTTTTTGTGACTATTTCAGAAAGTGTTGTCATGAAAAATCACTAGTATTCAGACTAAGGGCGTCAAAAGTTTAGATAATTCAATACTCATTGATACCACAGGTTTTAAAACGATACGATCTGTTGTATAAATGATCGGTAGTATCAAGCTTCAAATTTTAAGTTTTTAAAAAAAGCTGCCTTAAGCGAAGACGAAGAGGAGGCTTGTGAAATGTTGCCAATGTTTTTGTACAATTAAGACAGCCTGCAGGAGTTTGCATGCAATTTTTGGCAATCCAATGCAAAAAAATGACTTAAGTTCTTCTATTTTTGTTGCTGTGGTATTCAAACAGGATTGACATCATTTGATTTTCATTAGCGTCATATCGAAGTTTAAATATTTGCATTGTGACAACCCTACCCATTCCTGGTCAATCCTAAACTCTGCTGAGACGCTTGGATTTGCGGATTGGTGTCGCCTCCTCGCTCTTTCTCTTGCGGTCAATTCTCTTCAGAGCTGGCTGAGGGCTATCCTGTTCATCAGACTCTTCTTTTGTAGCTCTAGTGCTGTGCCGTGTGGGCGTGATCGAAACTGAAGGAACTAACCTCCCTCTTAAACGTCTCTTTTCGATCACTATAGGCTCCGCCTCTTCCTCCGACATGTCCTGCTCGTCTGGTGACTCTGCCTCTTCGTCTGTGTCTAGAGCGCCTCCCTTTTTACTAGCTCTACACTCTCTCTGTTGGCTTCTTCACTACTTTTCTCCACCTTCTGTGTTGCTTCATCACCAGACCATTCAGCCGAGTTATTGCCTTCACTCTCTTCCTCTGTGCCCAATGTCGCTCTCTCCTCCTCAACAACGTTCTCTCTGTAGTCCACGGGCCGCCTCATACGTCTGGATCTTCTTCTTTGTAATATCCGTTCTTCTGTTAGGACCTCTTCTTTGTCGTCATCATCAGTCTTCATCCTCTTCCTGGGACTTCTGACTCTCACCGAGATGTCCTTGGTTTTCTCTTCTTCACTCTCTGATGTCTGGTTCTCTGGTGATTCCACCGCTCTGTGGTCGGACAAAACAGCTGTTTTCTCAGCAGGACCTTCAGTTGCAGGCTCCGCATCGTCTGCATACAGCTCTGCATCATCCTCATCGCTTTCCTTCTCTTGGTAATTCTGCCTTATGGATCTTCGTAAAGTTCTTGTAGATGGAGCTGGAGCTTCTTCAACCTCCTTTTCTGATTCATCTTCAACGAGGGCCTCTTCTGGAGCGGCGGCTGTGTCAGAATCCACTTCTGTAGATTTCTCTACGACTGTGCTCTCCTCATCTACTTCAGCTGCTGAAGTCTCGATCGTGTCGGTGCCGGTCTCGTCCACAGCTGCCACGCTTTCCTCCTCATTTTCAGGCAACTCTTCTTCACCTTCACCTTCTTCAACTGATTCTCCTCCTCCTCCTGCTGCACTCTCAACCTCCTCCTCTTCCACATCTTTCTTCTCAGGATCCTCTCCTGTCGTCTCCACTTTCTCCTCAGGTGAGTCCCGCTCTGACTCTTCTTCCTCTTCTTCTTTTTCATCGTCTCCCTCTTCCTCAGGCTGAACATCTGTGCGGGCTCTCTTGGCTTTCCGTCTCGGTGGGGCAGGCAGACTTCCGTCCCTTCCTCAAAACCCTTATTTGAACTGCAGGTTCATCTGTATCAGCGTCTTTTTCTACCACTGTCCCCTCCTCTTCTTGGTCTTCCGTCTGTTGTTTCTCTGTGGTTTTGCTCCTTGGTGACGCTCTCACTGACTTTCCACCGCTCCTCAGGACTTTTGATTCAACAACCGGCGCCTCTTCCTCATCAGGAACTTGTCCATCTTCTATTCCAGGTGTCTCCACCTGTCCTTCTGAATCAGCTGGCTGTTCCTCCTCCAGGGTCTCTTGCTCTTTGGGGGATTCGTCTGCTTCAGCGACAACTTTTTCCAAGTCCTCTTCTGGTTCTGTCGTTTCTTTTTCCTGAGTTGCAGCCTCCTCTTGAGTTTCTTCTTCGATCTTTTCATCTTTGCTTTCCTCGTTTCTACAGCCTCTCCCAGCTCTGCTTTGGCATCCTCTGATTCAGCTGGGGTAGTTTGATCTTCCTCTTCCTCCGTTTCAAGCTGTGTTCTTGCTCTTTTGGATTTACCTCTGAGCGAGGAAGGAGCTAACCTTCTTCCCTTCTTTTCACCACTTCTCAGAACTCTTGTTTCAATAACCGGTATGTCCTCCTCCTGATCTGCCTGGTCTTCAGTTCCAGTTAGCTGTGTCTCTTTTGCCAATTCCCCAGTTTCAGCTTCTGCACCTTCACCGGTGGAGACTGACTGTTCCTCCTTGACAGTATCTTGTTCTGTGACAGCTTCTTTAGCAACATCATCTGAGGCTTCAGTAGCTTGTCCCTCTGTCTCACTACTGTCAGCCTGTCCTTCCTCTGGAGCATCCTCAGCTTTCTCTTCACTTATTTCTGGTTCTGCTTGTTGATTTTCATCCTTATCCTCAAGTTTCTCCTCTTCAGCTTGTACGTCTTCCTCTTCTGCCTTGTTCCCCTCGTCTGCTGTAGATTCCTTTCCCTCCTCCTCCTCTTCTTCCTGAAGTTGCTTACGGGTTCTTTTTCTGGAACTTCTTGGAGCGACTGTGATAGACTTCCTCCCTCGCCTGAGAACTCGGACTTGAACTCCTGGTTCCTCATAAACAATATCTGAAGCCACCTCCTCTTCTTCCTCATCCTTTTTCTGTGTTCTTCTTGTTGATTTGCATATCGGTGTGGCTTTGACAGCTGGCTTTCTACCTCTCCGTGTTCTTGTTTCAATGATTTTAACCTCCTCCTCCTCTTCATCAACACTTTTGGCCTCATCTTCTTTAGCCGTCTCCTCGGCCTTCCCCTTGCCAGTTTCTTGTGTTGTGACTACATCCTCTGCTTTCTCCTCCTCCTGCTCAGTTTGTTCTGCTTCAACAGGAACATCTTCTGCTTGTCCTGCTTCTTCTTCTTTAGTTTCTTCCTTCTGCTCCTCTTCTCCTTCAATAGAAGTTTCTCCCAGGGGAGCCTTCTCCCCCACAGCTGCTGTCTCTTTGAGGACCTCAAGATGTGTTTTTTTCAGATCCACTAAAACCACGCTGACTCTTTGGAGCTCAGGAAGCTGTTGTACCACTACATTGCTCTGTTGCTCTTCTTCTGCGGGTGTTGCCTCCTCTTCAGCAGGTGTACGTGAAGCTGAGTCAGTGGCTGGTTCAGGTTTTGATGTTTCTGTTTCTCCTTCTTCGACTAAATCATCTGAGGCGTCTGTCACTCCAGTCGTGGTCTCCTCCTCTTCAGTTTGTGTCATTTGTCCTTCTTCTGACTCTTCTTCTACATGTATTGACTTCTCCTCCTCCACTGAATCCTGTGTGACAGCTTCCTGGACAACATCATCTGAGGTCTTTTCATCATCAGCGCTTTGTACGTCTCTCTCAGATTTGTCGGCCTGTTCCTCCTCTGGAGCATCTTGTTGGATGACTGATTCCTCCGAAACCAAAACCTCTTTCTCTGTGATTTCTGGCTCTGCTTGTTGGGTTGCTTCCTCCTCAACTTGTTCCTTCTCTTCCTCTGCCTCTTTCTCCTCATCCATGGGAGATTCCTCTTCTTCTTTCTTCTCTTCTTCTTGGAGTTGTTTGCGTGTCTTTTTTGGTGTTTTTCTTTGCACAGGGGTAGACTTTCTTCCCCCCCTGAGAACTTTGACTTCAACTGTTGGCTCCTCTTCTAAAATCTCAGAAGCCTCCTCTTCCTTGACCTTATTCTGTCTTCTTGCAGATTTGCGTCTCGGTGTGGCTTTGACTGCTAGCTTTTTACCTCTCCGTGTTCTGGTTTCCATGACTGTAACCTCCTCCTCCTCCCCCTCCTTTTCCTCTTCATCTTCTTTTGCTGTCTCCTCAGCTTTCTCCTCCACTGTTTCAGGTGTTGTGGCTGCATCCTCTGCTTTCTCCTCCACTGTTTCAGGTGTTGTGGCTGCATCCTCTGCTTTCTCCTCCACTGTTTCAGGTGTTGTGGCTGCATCCTCTGCTTTCTCCTCCACTGATTCAGGTGTTGTGGCTGCATCCTCAGCTTTCTCCTCCACTGATTCAGGTGTTGTGGCTGCATCCTCAGCTTTCTCCTCCACTGATTCAGGTGTTGTGGCTGCATGCTCTGCTTTCTCCTCCAGCCCTTCAGGTTCCTTTACAACCTCCTCCTGCTCAGTTTGTTCTGCTTCAATAGGGCTATCAGAAACATTCTCCTCTTCCATTGCTTCTTCCCTCTGCTCCTCCTCAGCCTCAGCAGCAGTTTTTTCTTCAGGAGCATCCACAGCTGCTGTTTCTTCTTGTTCTTTTTCCCCTTTCTCAGCTTTTTCAGATGTTTCGGATATTACTTTAGTTTTCTCTTCCACTACACGTTGTCCTTCCTCTGGCTCCACCTCTCCTTCTGGCTGTACATGTTCCTCCTTCTCAGAAGCAAACTGCTCTTCAACCTTTTTGACTCTCTCTTCTTCACCAGTTTTAACTACAACTGGTTCATCAGCTGCCTCCTCTTCCTCTGATGTCTGAGAAATCTCTTCTTTTTTCTTCTGGATTGTTTTTTTTGGGGTTTTTCTCGGTCGGCCCCTACCCCTTCCAGAGGCAGAGATCCCTTCCTGTCTTGGAGAGCCAGAAATATTCTCCTGTTCAGCTTCAGCAGCAATGTTTTCTACAACTGGTTCCTCATCTGCCTCCTCTTCCTCTGATGTCTGAGATACCTCCTCTTCTTTTTTCTTCTGGATTGGTTTTTGGGGGGTTTTTCTCGGTCGGCCCCTTCCCCTTCCAGAGGTAGCGATACCTTCCTGTCTTGGAGAGCCAGAAATATTCTCCTCTTCAGCCTCAGCAGCAGTTTTTTCTACACTTGTTTCCTCATCTGCCTCCTCTTCCTCTGATGTCTGAGATACCTCCTCTTCTTTTTTCTTCTGGATTGTTTTTTTTGGGGTTTTTCTCGGTCGGCCCCTACCCCTTCCAGAGGCAGAGATCCCTTCCTGTCTTGGAGAGCCAGAAATATTCTCCTGTTCAGCTTCAGCAGCAATGTTTTCTACAACTGGTTCCTCATCTGCCTCCTCTTCCTCTGATGTCTGAGATACCTCCTCTTCTTTTTTCTTCTGGATTGGTTTTTGGGGGGTTTTTCTCGGTCGGCCCCTTCCCCTTCCAGAGGTAGCGATACCTTCCTGTCTTGGAGAGCCAGAAATATTCTCCTCTTCAGCCTCAGCAGCAGTTTTTTCTACACTTGTTTCCTCATCTGCCTCCTCTTCCTCTGATGTCTGAGATACCTCCTCTTCTTTTTTCTTCTGGATTGGTTTTTGGGGGGTTTTTCTCGGTCGGCCCCTTCCCCTTCCAGAGGTAGCGATACCTTCCTGTCTTGGAGAGCCAGAAATATTCTCCTCTTCAGCCTCAGCAGCAGTTTTTTCTACACTTGTTTCCTCAGCTGCCTCCTCTTCCTCTGATGTCTGAGATACCTCCTCTTCTTTTTTCTTCTGGATTGGTTTTTGGGGGTTTTTTCTTGGTCGGCCCCTACCCCTTCCAGAGGCAGAGATCCCTTCCTGTCTTGGAGAGCCAGAAATATTCTCCTCTTCAGCCTCAGCAGCAGTTTTTTCTACAACTGGTTCCTCTTCCTCCGAAGTCTGAGATACCTCCTCTTCTTTTTTCTTCTGGATTGGTTTTTGGGGTTTTTTTCTCGGTCGGCCCCTTCCCCTTCCAGAAGTAGAGATACCTTCCTGTCTTAGAGAGCAAGAAATATTCTCCTCTTCCATTGTTTCTAACCTCTGCTCCTCGTCAGCCTCATGAGCAGTTTTTTCTACAACTGGTTCCTCAGCTGCCTCCTCTTCCTCTGATTTTCGGGGTTTTTTTCTCGGTCGGCCCCTACCCCTTCCAGAGGTCGAGATCCCTTCCTGTCTTGGAGAGCCAGAAATATTCTCCTCTTCAGCCTCAGCCACAGTTTTTTCTACACTTGTTTCCTCAGCTGCCTCCTCTTCCTCTGATGTCTGAGATACCTCCTCTTCTTTTTTCTTCTGGATTGGTTTTTGGGGGGTTTTTCTCAGTCGGCCCCTTCCCCTTCCAGAGGTAGAGAGCCCTTCCTGTCTTGGAGAGTCAGAAATATTCTCATCTTCCATTGATCCTTCCCTCTGCTCAGCAGCAGTTTTTTCTACAACTGGTTCCTCTTCCTCTGAAGTCTGAGATACCTCCTCTTCTTTTTTCTTCTGGATTGATTTTCGGGGGGTTTTTCTTGGTCGGCCCCTACCCCTTCCAGAGGTAGAGATCCCTTCCTGTCTTGGAGAGCTAGAAACATTCTCTTCTTCTCTCTGCTCCTCCTCAGCCTCAGCAGCAGTTTTTTCTTCAGGAGCATCCACAGCCGCTGTTTCTTCTTGTTCTTTTTCCCCTTCCTCAGCCTTTTCAGATGCTTCGGATATCGCTTCAGTTTTCTCTTCCACTACATTTTGTCCTTCCTCTGGCTCTACATGTTCCTCCGTCTCAGAAGAAGCCTGCTCATCAACCTTTTCCACAGATGCTTCCTCAGCTGCCTCCTCTTCCTCTGAACTCTGAGAAACCTCCTCTTCAATTGGTTTTTGGGGGGTTTTTCTTGGTCGGCCCCTTCCCTGTCTCGGTGTTCCTGTAGTCACCGCTGGTTCTTCTTCTTTCTTCTCTTCTGCTGATATCAGCTCCGTCTCTTCCTTTTCTGCAGCAACAAACTCTTCATCAGCAGGTGTTTCGTCTCCCTCCTTCACACCCAGATCAGCCCAGGTTGTTTTGAGGTCCACTAGAACGACAGTGGCTTCCCGCAGTGGAGGGATTTCAGAGACAATGTCTTTTTCCTGAGGCTCTTCTGCTGCAGGTAAAGCGGCTTCATCAACCTTTTCGGCAACATCAGATTCAGAGGCAGCAGCAACAGTGTCAGACTCTTCTTCTTTATCCATTTCCATCACAGATGCAGCCTCTGTCGCTCCCTCCGTCTGCTCCTCTTCTTCAGTCAAAGGTTTAACGTCCTCTGCTGCTTCTTCTGCCTTTGGAGGTGTAACTTCTTCCTCCACGGTTTGCATCTTCTCTTCTGTTTTGTCTTCCATATCCTCTTGTTCCTCCACCTGTTCCTCTGTTGCCTTGTCACCTGCTTCAAGCTCATCCTCCTCTGTCTGCTCTTCATCATATTTCTGAAGTCTTCTGCTCTGCCTTTTAGGTGTAGGTTTAGCTGTGAGTTTACGTCTGCCTCTTTGAGATCTTTTCTGCACAACAGGGGGCTCCTCTTCCTCATCATCATCATCACCAGAGACTTCTTGTTCATCCTGTATCACTGATGTTTGGCCATCCTCAGTGTTCTGGTCTTTTTCAGATTCATCTGGATTCATTGTCTCTGCTGCTTCTAGAGCCTTCACCCCAGACTCCTCTTGCTCCTGGGCCTCCTCTTTATTTGTCTGTTTGTCTTCTTCCAGCTGCTCTTCTCCAACATGCTCTTTCACGGAGGTTATTTCTTCTGTTACAGTCACCTCCTCCACGACTTCAGATGCAGAAGTCAGACAGATGCAGTGTACTCTCTGGCTGTGGCGTGTAGATATGGGTGTGGTCGTGCTCTTCACAGTTCTTCCTCTCAGAATTCTCCCTCCACCCACAGCTGGACTTTCCCCCTTCACCTCCTCCTCGGCTTTTCTCTGCCGCAGGGATCTCCGTCGAGGGGTTTCACTTTTTACTGTTTGTATTGCCTTTACAACTGCTCGTCCTGTTTTTGCAGCTTTACTATCCTGTGATGTTTCATGTGTGGTTATGATCGCCTCGTGTTGTGTAACAGTTTCTTCTGACTTTTCATCTTTCTCCACAATGTCAGTTTCTGCTTCTTTGTGTTCCTCTAAAACTTCCTCTGCTTCCTCTATTTCTGATGCCACGTTCTCGACTATCACCTGCGAGTTATGAGAGGTGTTCACATCCTGTGTGCCATCATCTTTTGTTTGGAGCTCCTCAGGTGTTATATCCTGTGGGGCTGGTTTGTCTGACATCAGAGATACCTCTTCTTCTTCTTCAGGTGAAGTATCAACTACATCCACTCCGTTTTCTTCAGGAGTCAAACTCAAAACATCCTAAAATTAAAGAGGAAATTTCATCACAAACAATTCGCTTTTATGGACAAACATGCAACGACCATTTGACTTATACACACCTCAGTCTGCACCAGGTCAGAAATATTTTGCAGATTACCTCTTGGGGTTTCGGCTTCAATGTCTTCAATCCTAAAAGATGCAAGAAATCACTGAGTTTAGTTCCCCTCTTTTAGAAGAATAAAGGTTCGAAGATGGTTTTAGAACAGCTGAAAGAGGGCAGAAATCCACACTACATATGTTTTCCTCTTGTTCATTGCGACAGAAATGCATCTGTTGGGATCTCCATGTGTTGAAACAAAGGTCTGTCCTGTAGCCACAGAAGCCTGAGTACGAGTACTTAAATGACACTTACTCCTAGCATGCCCTGTCCTGCAGAAACACTCCCAGCATGCTCTGCAACATCTAACACATAGGTGTTAAGTGTATGGTCGATAAAAGCAGCCGCCTCTCATTGTTCGATCTCTTCACGTGTGGTCTCCCTACACCAGAGGATACCTCTCCACAAGCTTCCAGCTTCAGGGGAGACACGCATTCCAACCTGGCCTACTTCCAAGGCCTGTTTTAGGAGTTTTGGCGCAATCAGTAACTATCTGGTTTGAGCACAGAGAGATTCTTTCCTATTATTCTCGTCAATGTTGGTGAACGCAACTAGACAGGAGTGCTACAGAAAGCCACTGTTACCTGATCTACACACACACACACACACACACACACACACACACACACACACACACACACACACACACACACGTGCCACACTGTTTGTTTGCTTAGATTAGTTTGTAATAGTTGTTTGATTGATTAAGTTCATTGATTTGGATTGATGTTGCTTTGTTAAATAAATCCTGTTAGAATTTAAGAGAGCAGTTTGTGATTACTGGTGTATTTGCATTGTGATATAAGCTGGGTGAGAGGGCCTTGTGTACGGATTTCACGCCTTCAATTTATTAAATATAGTTATTAATTATTGATAATATTAGTAATTAAGTTTTTAAGTTATTAAGTAACTAATTTGAGACCGAATTTAGTGATATTTTGGTTATTTTCCCCTGCCCTCGAGTTGATTAAACATAGTTTAATGATATTGTTATTTATATTAATAATAATTAAATATAATTATTACACAATATAACCAAATTTGACTAGATAAAACCATAGACTGTAAATATTACTGGACGAACCCTGACCCGTCTGTGACATAGGCAGAAAATGAGTCCAATCGACGGCCGCATCCATATTGGATTTGCAGTCTCAACCTAACTTCGGATCAACCTAGCAACAGCAGTAAGGCGGGACCGGCGGGACTTAGCTCCGCCCATTCAGCTCGACGTTAGCAGTCCACTTCGACAGCATAGCTAACAGCTAGGCTGCTATCATCCCCTATTCCTGCTCGTCCTGAGAAAACTCTAAAACACAGTAAGTTAACATTTAACTTTTCTACAACACAGTTAAAACGAATTATATTCAACACAAATATTTAATTAAAGTCTTAAAACTACACTTTTTTAAATATACAATTATGTTTTATGAGTTATTTTGTTAGAGAAGTTAGACTTTGTCAGTGTTAGCAGAGCAATACATTAACAAAGTTTTATCCATAGACTGTAAATAAATGTGAGACATCCAGAAGAAATCAATATTACAAAGCATACAGTTCATGTTACTGTTCTGACAAAAAGAGGAATGTCTGTGTTTTATATTTACTGATGTCAACAGCGATGAGGTGAACATGACAATTGAAAAATAATTATTTAGTATTTATTATAAGATATTTGTTTTCTATTGAACCCCGTGAAGTCATGGAGTCTGTGGACAGTTCAGCTTCACACCAAAAACTTTAAGTATTAGAAAAAATAGTATTTAAGACTGGCATCTATTATTATGAGTTGCAGCTACCTTGTTCAATATTATTCCTGCAGATGTGGCTCATAACAAAAAAAACACCCTGAGCTGTCCCATGTAGTTAACTGTACATTTTGTCTTGTCTGAGGTATTGATTGAACACCTTTGTATTTCTCTTATAGACACAGTGTGGATTATTGGTGACTTGTCCGTCGAGGTGCCCAGAGAGCTGCAGAGACTGAGGAAGAAACCTGAGCCTCAACAACATCTGCATTTGTTGGTTCTTCTGGGGTGGACTTCGGTTGCTTCTCTTCAACAGCTCGCTGTGAGGGAGGTCTGAGTGATGTCACCCACAGGCTGAGAGCTGAGACGGGTTTTAAGCCTTTTGACAAACCGTTACACCGCGCCCACCTGTCAAGCTGGTCAGCTACACGCCTTATTGTGAATAACTCTTATCCTTCATCAAAACATTCACCCCCTGTACAGTGTGTGTCCATCGAGACATGAGCTAATCACACCTATTTGTTTGTTTTGTACCAAGCTGTAAACATGTTAATCTCTGCTGTAAAAACAGACTTTTTTTAATGTTGTTTTTCAGATTAAATAAATATTTCTATATAAATGCACTCCTTTATGTCTACTTATGAGTATACATTTCAGATTAATGCTCAACTCAATAGCTTAGGGAAGGAAGTCTACTTTTACACAACTTCTTACTCTTTTGATAAATACTAATGTAGTTCATTTCTCGAACCTCGAGGAACTGCAGTTTTTTGTACTTCCGCATAGGCTTCATTTTTCGAGACCGGAGGTTGCCCCTTGGATAAAACCCAAACAAATGGTGCCCTGTGTGAGGCCTTCAATAAAACCAGCTTTATTGCACTGTTAATGCACAGCAATCCAAACTTTTTTCTTGAGGAAAAAATTATCTTTTCTTTTAAAGACTTACTTTTCATGCTTGTTGTTTATTTAAAGCAGACAGCAAGGGTGACCTTCACTATGAACTAGTTTGTTGCTTTAATCCAGAGTTTTATCCTGAAATGTATTTATTTTGAACATTGACTTCTCATTTCAAGCAAAGCATACGTCAAGTTGTGTTTTGGCGAGTTGAGTAGTTTTCTTTTTGTGTGCTCTTTGTTGTTTGAGACAACAATTTAGACAGTTTTCCAGTTGAGAGTGTAACCTCATAATTGTTGCATAGCCAGCTGTCTGAGAGGTGTGAGTTCCTCCCAACCTTTGAAGACTTGAGGTGTGAATCCCCTCTCCTAGCTTCCAGGATAGACTGCAGTGATCAGTTGGGAAACTTAGATAAGATTTGTTCTTATGTTGATCTAGCTTTGTTTAGCTTAGCAGCTTTATTAACAGTAATCCACTGTGGTTCTGTTTTATCACATAAAATGTGTACCAAGACCCTAGGTGAGCCAGGAACTGAGACTCCTTTTGGATCAGACAACGCAGCACTGCAAGAAACGGTTGCTGGTCTGCCACGCCTCTCCTCAGATGAGAGTGCAAACCTATATAGCTATTCAATTAGCATTTGTGATAAGAGGTTGAAGGAGCTAGTTGATCTTGTCAACCACCAAGCCAGGACCATGTCGAGGCACTTGGAGGAGGTAAATATATTGAAGTACGTGGATGGAAGGCAAACGAGGAATAATGACTGTCGATTGTTTGGTTTGTGATGTAACAGGCCAACAGGAAGAAGGTCCAATAGTATCTAGCTTAAAGGAGGCATATTGCCCCCTACTGTAGGGAAGTCAGATGCCCCCTCCCTCTGGAACTCACTCCCCACACACATTCAACACTGCACCGACCCTCCTACTTTCAAATCACTTATCAAAACTCACCTCTTTAAACAAGCTTTTAATGTATAATTGTGATGTATTTTCTGTTTTCTGTAATTTACCTTTATTGTTGTTATCTTTATGATTTGTTTGTAATGCAGCGATGTCCGTTAGTCTGTCCTTACTGTGCTGTTCTTTATGTTTTAACCATTGTAAAGTGTCTTTGAGTTTT